GAAGTCTGATTGCAAGTTATCAAATTAAACTTTATTTTTTGGACCCAGGGCCTCAATTCCCTCTTTGTGTGGGCACAGCGTATCTGACGAGCAGCAACAGCCCATCAAGCGACGGAGGATGCTGGGACCAGGAGAACAACAGAGGTTGGCTATAGAGGTAAGTTGTGATGTAATTGTCAGTGTTTCCCACCTAGAACTTTTTTCAGGCCTGGTAGTATGTAGCCAAAACCCTGAACAATCAGCACCTTGGTAATCATATACTTGAGTTGGACATAGGCATGTGTCAGTCAGGATCACTTGCATCAAAATAGCTTAATTGCAAATTAAAGCTGATGATGTATCTTTTACAGGTATGTGATACCATCCTGAGTCATGCCAAAGAGAGGTTCTCCTTCACCCAGCACCTCATCAGCGCAACACTATTGCACGGAGAGTTGTTCCCACAACACAGTGTGAAGTTCCCCGATACAGCGCTTGAAACAACCGTGGAGGCGTACCCCATGTTGAACAAGGCCAAGCTCAAAACCGAACTGTCCCTCATCTATGAGAACAGTGAGTTCAAGGCTTGTAGTGGTGCAGTGCCCCTGTACCAGTTCTTCATGGAGAACAACCTTCAGAGCACTTTCACAGAGACTGCCAGCCTCCTCAAGATCCTCATCACCACACCCATGACAACTGCTGAGTCAGAATGGTGCTTCTCTACACTGAAAAGGATCAAGACCTTCCTGAGAAACAGCATGACACAGGATCGCCTGAACGCTCTGGCCATGCTCTCCATGGAGAAGAAACTTGTCAGGGACATTCCTGACTTTAATCAAAGGGTCATTGAGAGGTTTGCCACTCAGAAGGACAGACGGGCAAAATTCCTGTACAAATAAGATGACAGACACACACACACAGAGCAGCTCTGGCCGCATGTTTCTTTGTATATAGTTGACCTTAGCATAAAAAATCCAGTTATATATGGTACTCTAGAAAGTCTTAATAGTGTCTTTGCTAATATTACTGTATATAGGTTGTTTTGTATCAATTAATTGTTGCAGTTCTGGAGCACATTAACAATTAGTCACATTTAGTATGATCATAAAATACTGTATGCTATTCTTCCAGTCAAAGGTTTGAGTTCATCCACTTGATATTCATTTCTATATTATACATCCTTTTATACAGTGTAAGATTTCCTATAAACTTTATAATAATTTCATGTTATTGTCCACTTTCCACTCTGTTCTGACAGCATGCCTGTTGCGTTGCCTGTTTACTACCAATGGTGAAAAGTTCACTTTAAATGCAAATGAAAGGCTTGGGTTTGTGTAATATGTTTTTGTGTAAGAATGCCTCAACTTTTTAATATTGGCATTAAATAATTACTGAATGTTTCACTGAGCACTGCTGTCCTGCAGTTTGTGTTAAAATATATCGCGATGGTTACAGGAAAAAAAAAGTATGGCACAGCCCCACCGAGAATATTTTTCACCAGCCGCCACTGTTCATTACACTAGGATGAGGGAACATATTCATGAGAGAAAAGCTTGTGTGGTAGAGCTCAGAATCACTGAGAGGCACTGAGATTTTTGAGAGATGTGATAAGAAGATGGCAAGAGCCTTTAATTGACCAGATATGGCACATTTCCTCATTGATGGTCACTATTTACAATTGTTGTCAGCGTAAATAGACGAACCTGTGAAATTATAATTACTGTGAGCAATTCTATTTTTATAAGAGGATCTACTGGAATGTCTTTCCTTCCCATAACCATGATGTGTTGACCCTGATGGAAAGAAAATTGTAGCTAAATTCAGTTGTGAGTGTCGCCTGTCCCGGCACTTGATCATAGAGCTATTAGGATCCTTTGTTCCATTGACATGTTCTGTTAATTGTCTGTCATATCAGATGTGACCTGGGTGGCTGTTCACCCGCCCAGATTAATGAGCTATTTGTCAAATATGCTATTATCAAAGAAACGTTAGTGAATTCAAATACTGCGTAGGGATAAAATGCTGTTAAAGATTATCATAAAATTGTGTAATTGCTGTGTGTCTGAAATGCAGAATTGTGTGTGGGTGTGTGTGATTGGTTTGTGTTTGTGTGTTGTGCTAATTTATGGGGCTGTGTTTGTTGACGGTTGAGTGAGTACAGAGCAGAGCAGATAGCGCGCTAGGCTATAGGGCTGTGCTTTGGCGGCTGTGGCTCCAGCTGATTAGCCGGAGCTGCTGCAGTGAAAGAGAGAGAGGGAGACACTACAGTGTAAGTATTAATGGGAGAGAGGGAGGGAGGCAGAGGAAATCGTGTGTGTGTGTGTGCACGTGTGCACGCGAGTTGCTGCGCTACATCCCCTCTCTTGCCTCACTCTTCTATCACTTCCCCCGTTTAAAAAAAAATCTGTTGCCTCTTTCACGGCTTATCTCTCTCCCTCATTAGTTCTTTTTTCTCCCTCCCCTTCTCCCGCAGCCCTCCCTCCCTTCGTGCCGACGCTCCGCGCCGAAGATGATAACTCCAATTTCGAGGAGCCTCTGGAGAAGCCTCGGTCCCGGCGAGCGGATGCTCAGCGAGACCCCCTGCGGCCGGGCTTCCAGGGCCAGGACCTGCCCTGTCTAGGCTGGTTCTTCAGCAGGGCGTTGACAGCGCTGGCCAAGTCTGAGTAAGTACTGTACCTTGAGCTGCGTCAGTCAGCCGAACCCCTCTCCTCTCCCCTTGATAAGTGTCAGTCACAGGTGGTGGCAGGTTTGCCTAGTGGGTTGATATTGAGCATCTCCACGGCAACACTCTCCAGGTGTCCTCCAACCACGTCTTTCTATATGCTGCCTGGGTCTATAGTCTGCAGTGGCAGTGCTTGGCTGGTGGCTTTATAATGGGTTTAGTGGCGTTGTGCTGTCAGACAATGAGGGGATTCCCCCCCTCTCTCCTGTCTCCTTGGAGACAAACCCCTATTTCATGCTTTCTAACTGACTGTTTTTACCATTGAAACACAGCTGTCTGATTGAGAAATGAATGTTGGGATTGAGAATGAGACGAGTGCCAGTGGTTTGTTGGCATCTGTCTACCTCTTCAACTGCTGTGGAGATCAGACCGATCAGAGCTGTGTGGTAGGATAATGTAGCTTGCTGCTATTATTGAACTATCAGAGCTGGTTGGTATTCCGGTGAGTGTTTCGATGTCGTGCACTGCTGTGAGGTAGAGGAGACAACCCTCCTCCCCGCAGTTGTGTGCATGTTAAGGGGCTCTGTCTTTGTTATTGCCGCGCGGTGTATAGCTGCTTTGCCAGTTTAAAAGCAGGGTGGTTTGGTTGGTAATTGACTCAACTAGTTAGTGGCTTGCTAAATGCTAATTCCCTAATAATCCCCCAGCTGCATTTCTAGCACTGACTGTTCCTTGTGGCAGGTTAATTGCAGAAGCTGCTAGTGAAGATACAGAGGAGCAGGAGGAAGAAAAGGCATAAAAAAAAGATCAAGCAAAAAGCCAGATTCGGCTAGTCAGAGAAAGGAGGGATGCAGATTGGTGAAGAGAATGTATTTCTATGGAAACCAGGATGTTATTTGTCCCCACCCCCACTGTTCTCTCTCTCTTTCTCTCTCCACCTCTCTCTTCCCTGTTTTTACATTCACATCTTTTTCTTCTTCTCTCCCACAGTGCTGTAGATCTCTTAACAAACAGTAATCTGTTCTTGGTTTTCTTTTTTGTACTGCTTTTAATGATAACAAACAAGCAGCTCAATCAAGACAGAAGTTGCTTGTGTTACATATGCAGCATTTATTAAAATGTTCATTAAGCCCAATGAGGGGAAAATGTAGCTCAGTTGGTAGAGCATGGCGCTTGCAACGCCAGGGTTGTGGGTTTGATTCCCACGGGGGGGCCAGTATGAAAAATGTATGCACTTACTAACTGTAAGTCGCTCTGGATAAGAGCGTCTGCTAAATGACTAAAATGTAAATGTTTCAATCTGTGTTGGTGGTCCTGATCACTCACTCAATCTGTGTTTACACAGCAGATTTCTATAGTTTAGCGTTTTACAATTTTCTCATGGTCACAATTTGACGGACCATATGTCGTTGTGTAAACAAGATTCTCTGTGATAGATATTGGTGAAAGTGGAATCTATATTGTATGCATATGCAAATATTCATTCATGTCATTCACGTTTTCCATCCGAGCGGGCCAGAAAACTAAATGGATCAATATCCCAGTGCATTTCATCCCTGTGAGATTTACGCTTACACATAGCACTTAATTTCTATGATATACTGTATCTGTAGTGGTGAAGGAATGACACAGAGCAAGATTAGCCTTCATTTAGCCTTCAAAAAACATAACTTGAAGAGTTAGGCCTAGACGTCATTTGTTTACTCCTATGACAACAAAAACATAGGCTTCATTGTTTTGGGGGTTATGATAAAATAAGAGACTTTCTTCACTTGTATTTTAAGTCGATAGTTCCGTCCTCCAACATCAAGCGGTCGATTTATTGTACCTTCCCTTTCATATCTTAATCATCTCAATTAGTCATTTAATTACCACAAATGAACTTTCTAAGCATTAGAAGCATTAGAGGATTGACTTCAAATTCAATGTCTGCCGAGTCTATCTTGACTTTTCAGTTTGACTCAACATAGTCTAGAATAGATGGACGTTGTACCAAATTATATTGAGGAGAAATAGGCCTAGTTGTTTTGAAGCGAAGCTAAATGAAATGGTATTATAAATGCATTATTGTTGAGCTTGAATGGCAGTCATGAAATACGCTAGGCTAGTCGATGGCCTAGAATCTGTATAGAATAAGCTATTGAGTGCCAGTAGATATTTGTCAAACTCAAGGAGCATAAGCCTTTGCGTTCAATTAAAAATGTTATTTTTTTTGTTGCAAAGAATGGTGTATTAAATGTGTTCTCCCCTATGTCTTGCCTAGGGCAGTGGCTTCATGCCTCAACTCTCCTGCCAAAACCAACTCCATGGAGAAAAAGCTTCATATTAAAAGCAAATAACTAGTTGAAACTCAAGACAAATGTCACAAGGTAATGTGCAGCTTTAGTTTTTTAGCTTTTTCCCTGGAAATGGGCCACATGTTAATGAGTATTTTATCTTTATTTTAATAACTAATTGAAATCAGAGAGAAATTAGGAGGTTGTAGTGGAGTTAGAATGTAGATGCTGCGCAGCATAGCATACATGGCAGACTCTCTAGCTGGGTATTGATTTCAGTGCAACTATAACCAATATAATCATATCTAGAATCAGCTTTTAACCCAATCAGTAACAGTTAATGAATTATGTATTGATTACCAGATGGGGCAGGAGATATCTCGTGACATTTACAGTGATATAGGGCAAACTTTAACGTCAAGCTCCTTTTTTAGTGATAATATCGCTTTTCCTTTGACAAAATGTATATAACTCTGAGAAACCTTTGAGTGACAGTACAATATTCAGATTTGGTGTCTCTTGTGGCTTACTCTCTAGATGGAGCAGGAGATCTCTAGGTTTCAGCTCAAGATGACTGACCTGGAGTCAGTTCTGCACCAAAAGGATGTGGAGCTTAAGGCCTCTGAGACCCAGAGGACCATCCTGGAGCAGGACCTGGCCACCTACATCACAGAGTGCAGCGTGAGTACCTTATTAGAGTGCATGATCCCAAAATATGTCAGTGTGTTGGTTTCTTATCTACACCTATACGTACAGTAACTATATCAGAGTTCAGTTCAGTGTGAGTACCTTATAGCATGTATACTATTACATCCATGTTGCAGTAAAATAAATGTTGAGGTGATATATTTTTATGCATTCTGATTTAATTACAAAGTAACACGTGTGCATGTGTTTTGTGTGTGTTTTTTGTGCATGCATGTATGTGTGTGTTATTTGTGCATGTGTTTCCACAGAGCTTAAAGCACAGCCTGGAGGCAGCCCGTGTGGAGGTGTCTCAGGAGGATGACAAGGCTCTGCAGCTGTTGCATGACATCAGAGAGCAGAGCAACAAGATGCAGGAGATCAAGGAACAGGTACACTCCCTTACCGGTGAACAGCATGCTTACTTAATTCACACCAAGGGTCGTATGTATCAAGCATCTCAGAGTCTGAGTTCTGATCTAGGATCAGGCCCCCCTGTCCATCCATCTTAGCCTATCCTGATGATGTAAAAGGCCAAACTGATCCTAAATCAGCACCTACTCTGAGACACTGATACATACGGCACCAAACCTACTAACTAACCCTCTGCCTTGCTGAGTTGTAACACAAACACTAACTACGACTGTGTCCCAAACTCAAGACATCTCCCCTTGTTAGATGTTCTTCTAAGGGAAACACCAGTTTGTAGACTTTCCCAAAATCTAGAACAAATAAAATGCACTCTAGTAAGAACCAATGATGTATATCTATGATCAGGACTCCTGAAATCACTGAATGGTCAGTGAGAACCTTATAGGGATCATCAGGCTTAGCAAGCCTCTCTTTGTCTGTGATTCATCATCATATACTGTCCAGCAGCAGAAAGGCTCATTCTACTGCTGTTAGTACAACAAGCCTTTCAACCCCACCGTCTCAATGAGAGGCTCATTCTACTGCTGTTAGTACAAGCCGTTTAACCCCACCATCTCAAGTATGAAAATAAATAAAATAAATGTATGCACTCACTAACTGTAAGTCGCTCTGGATAAGAGCGTCTGCTAAATGACTAAAATGTAAATGTAAAATGTCTCAATGAGCGGCTCATTCTACTGCTGTTAGTAAAACAAACCAGCCCTAGTCGGATATTATCAATTAGAAATGGGTTTGTGACTCATAAAGGAAAAAATGACTTTTTATTGACGATATGATGATTGTAAGGAAGATGTTTGCCATCCTGAAGGGTGGATGTCATTATAGCAGGGGTCTCCAGCAGGTCGATCACGAGCTGCGAGCAGCTCACAGCCCACCTATGATAAGCTCACCAAACAATTCTGAAAGTGTATGTATTTTTCACGTGTTCCATCGCAAAATGTAATAAACAAATCTCACAAGTATAAGACACCTCAAGCTCCCGGCTACTATCCAATCAAATCCACATTGACATTATCCCACCCCTAGTCAGAAACAATTGGCTTAAAAAGTTAAAGGTAACACAATATCTCCCAATTAATTTCCAGCATCATTGCCCCTGTATGTCTGTGGTGCCGCATATTTGTCTATCATTCACTTCGTGTAGCCAGTTAGAGATAAAGATTTTTCAGCCCTCTAAAATGGTTTTCCATTTGTGATTTAAGCATGGACATGGACTCAGAACATCCAATTTCATTGTTTCTCTATGAATAATTGTAATTTTGAGAGTGAAAAACGGAAAAATCCCAAACCAGGAAAAATAAAACAGAGAAAACAGAATTCCGAAAAATACAAAGAGAGCCTATTTGAAAGCTAGGGGGAAATGTATGAGTAGCTCGCAATGTTTAATTATTAAAAATTAGCTCTCCCGCTATAAAAGTTTGGAGACCCCTGCATTTATCCAAAATGACTTAGTCATGCATGCATACATATTGATGTATAGGAGGCCCCAGCGGGAATCTAACACACGACCATTGGCATTGCTAGCACCATGCTCTACTGACTGAGCCACACAGGACAACTTATATTATTATATATGATATACAGTGCATTCGGAAAGTATTCAGACCCCTTTTTCCACATTTTGTTACCTTACAGCCTTGGATTAAAATATATTAAATTAATTATTTTCCTCATCAATCTACACACAATACCCCATAATGACAAAGCAAAAACTGGTTTTTAGAAATATTTGCAAATGTATTAAAAGTAAACTGAAATATCACATTTAAATAAGTATTCAGACCATTTACTCAGCACTTTGTTAAAGCACCTTTGACAGCAATTACAGCCTCAAGTCTTCTTGGGTTTGACGCTACAAGTTTGGCACACCTGTATTTGGGGAGTTTCTTCCATTCTTCTCTGCAGATCCTCTCAAGCCCTGTCAGGTTGGATGGGGAACGTCGCTGCACAGTTATTTTCAGGTCTCTCCAGAGATGTTCGATCGGGTTCAAGTCTGGGCCCTGGCTGGGCCACTCAAGGACATTCAGAGACTTGTCCCGAAGCCACTACTGCGTTGTCTTGGCTGTGTGCCTAGGGTTGTTGTCCTGTTGGAAAGTGAGGTCCTGAGCGCTCTGGAGCAGGTTTTCATCAAGGATCTCTCTGTACTTTAATCAGTTCATCTTTCCCTTGATCCTGACTAGTCTCCCAGTACCTGCTGCTGATAAACATCCCCACAGCATGATGCTGCCACCACCATGCTTCACCGTAGGGATGGTGCCAGTTTTCCTCCAGATGTGACACTTGGCATTCAGGCCAAAGAGTTTAATCTTGGTTTCATCAGACCAGAGAATCTTGTTTCTCATGGTCTGAGAGTCCTTTACGTGCCTTTTGGCAAACTCCAAGCGGGCTGTCATGTGCCTTTTACTGAGGAGTGGCTTCCATCTAGCCACTCTACCATAAAGGCCTGATTGGTGGAGTGCTGCAGAGATGGTTGTCCTTCTGGAAGGTTCTCCCATCTCCACAGAGGACCTCTGGAGCTCTGTCAGAGTGACCATCGCGTTCTTGGTCACCTCCCTGACCAAGGCCCTTCTCCCCCTGATTGCTCAGTTTTGCCGGGCAGCCAGCTCTAGGAAGAGTCTTGGTAGTTCCAAACTTCTTCCATTGAAGAATGATGGAGGCCACTGTGTTCTTGGGGACCTTCAATGCTGCAGAAATGTTTTTGGTTCTCTTCATCCTCAGATCTGTGCCTTGACACAATCCTGTCTCGGAGCTCTACGGACAATTATTTTGACCTCGTGGCTTGGTTTTTGCTCTGACATACACTGTCAACTATGGGACCTTTATATAGACAGGCGTGTGCCTTTCCAAATCATGTCCGATCAATTGAATTTACCACAGGTGGACTCCAATCAAGTTGTAGAAACATCACACGGATGATCTATGGAAACAGGATGCACCGGAGCTAAATTTCAAGTCTCATAGCAAAGCGTCTGAATACTTATGTAAATAAGGTATTTCTGTTTTTAATTTGGTATCAATTTGCAAAAAAATCTAAAAATCTGTTTTCGCTTTGTCATTATGGGGTATTGTGTCTAATTTGATTAGATTTTTTTTTATTGAATCCATTTTAGAATAAGGCTGTAACGTAACAAAATGTGGAAAAAGTCAAGGGGTCTGAATACTTTCCGAATGCACATATTCAGTGTCTCGGTCTTGTCTAGTGTCAGATACATTTCTACTCGGTCTCCGACAGTGAGGACTTGTAATTTCTTGCCGAGACCAGCGGAGTAAAGAACATAATTATCAGCTTCTATTCAGTCAGCGCAGAAAAGCGCTTCGCCAGGCCAAATATACACACTCCTTTCTTGAAAAATGTATATATTTTCACCTATTGAAACCTGGGATTCCTACTTTACTGGTAACATTACTGTCCTTTACTTTCATTGAAAAATATCCTATAACTTTGTCCGAATTTACTTGACTTGCTGATAGGGAAGAGTGGGGGAAATTGTTGGAACGTTGCATGCTCACTATTAGTCTGGGGAGACAGGGGGAAATTGTAACATAAGTCTTTATATGTATTATAGACATGTTTGCGCAGTGGCGAACCTATTGGCCATAGGCCTTCAGTGTGTGACAGGTTTGTGATGCTGAAAGGACAGCAACGGTAATACCAGCAATCATGTAGGAGAGTGCACGTTTTGTAAAACACAAAGGGCTAGTGGTGTAGTGGAGGATATACGCAGGTATACGCCCTATACCCACTATTTGTTTTTCAGAGGGCATTGCCTATTCGCACTTCTTAATACGTTCTGTTGTGTATCAAAGTAGTGTAGTGGAGGTATACAACTTATTAATGATGAAGGACAATAGAGAAATCATGCACAAAGTAGCCTACACATTCGCAAAGCACGTAAAATATATTCACATGCGCGCAGCACACATAGTCTAGTTTCAGCAGAATATCATCTGCAGGCAGCAAGAGCGTGCAGCTCTCAACTGGTTGTCACATGGAGCAGCTCACAGAAGAATGACATCGTTATCCAGTAGGTAGGAAAGACGTTTCAACTTATGATACACTACATGACCAAAAGTATGTGGACACCTGCTCCTCGAACATCTCATTTCAAAATCATGGGCATTAATATGGAGTTGGTCCCCCTTTTGCTGCTATAACAGCCTCCACTCTTCTGGGAAGGCTTTCCACTAGATGTTGTAACATTGCTGTGGGGACTTGCTTCCATTCAGCCACAAGCATTAGTGAGGTCGGGCACTGATGTTGGGCGATTAGGCCTGGCTCGCTGTCGGTGTTCCAATTCATCCCAAAGGTGTTGGATGAGGTTAAGGTCAGGACTCTGTGCAGGCCAGTCAAGTTCTTCCACACCGATCTCGACAAACCATTTATGTATGGACCTCGCTTTGTGCACAGAGGCATTGTCATGCTGAAACAGGAAAGAGCCTTCCTCAAACTGTTGCCACAAAGTTGTAAGCACAGAATCGTCTAGAATGTCATTGTATGCTGTAGTGTTAAGATGTCCCTTCACTGGTACTAAGGGGCCTAGCCCGAACCATGAAAAACAGCCCCAGACCATTATTCCTCCTCCACCAAACATTACAGCTGGCGCTATGCATTGGGGCAGGTAGCGTTCTCCTGGCATCCGCCAAACCCAGATTCGTCTGTCGGACTGCCAGATGTTGAAGCGTGATTCATCACTCCAGAGAACGCGTTTCCACTGCTCCAGAGTCCAATGGCAGCGAGCTTTACACCACTCCATCCGACGCTTGGCATTGCGCATGGTGATCTTAGGCTTGTTTGCGGCTGCTCGGCCATGGAAACCCATTTCATAAAGCTCCCGACGAACAGTTATTGTGCTGATGTTGCTTCCAGAGGTAGTTTGGAACTCGGAATTGAGGACAGACGATTTTTACTTGCTTCAGCACTCGGCGGTCCCGTTCTGTGAGCTTGTGTGGCCTACCACTTCGCGGCTGAGCCGTTGTTGCTCCTAGACGTTTCCACTTCACAATAACAGCACTTACAGTTGACCGGGGCAGCTTTAGCACGAACTGACTTGTTGGAAAGGTGGCATCCTATGACGGTGCCACATTGAAAGTCACTGAGCTCTTCAGTAAGGCGATTCTACTGCCAATGTTTGTCTATGGAGATTGCATGGCTGTGTGCTCAATTTTATACACCTGTCAGCAACGGGTGTGGCTGAAATAGCCGAATCCACTAATTTGAAGGTGTGTCCACATACTTTTGTATATATAGTGTATCTACCAGTAAGGTGGTCTCGAACACAACACTGTATATTATGTCTCTTCCTTTGCCTTCTGCTCCAGGAGTACCATGCCCAGCTGGAGGAGATGCAGGTCACTATCAGGCAGCTGGAAGAGGACCTGTCGGCCGCCCGGCGCCGTAGTGACCTGTACGAGTCAGAGCTTCGAGACTCCCGGAACACCAGCGAGGAACTCAAGAGGAAGGCTGTGGACTACCAGCAGAGAATCCAGAAGGTGTTTGTGTGTGTGTGTGTGTTTGTGTGTGTGTGTGTTTGTGTGTGTGTGTGTGTGTGTGTGCGTGCGTGCGTGCGTGCGTGCGTGCGTGCGTGCGTGCGTGCGTGCGTGCGTGAGAGAAACTGAGTAGGCCAGAAGAGTGGAGGTTTTCCCTGTGTTGCCACTAAAAGTAATCTACAGTTGTTGTGAACTGTGAATGCTAACATGTCTGTGGTCCTCTGTAGCTCAATTGGTAGAGCACGGCGCTTGTAACGCCAGGGTAGTGGGTTCGATCCCCGGGACCACCCATACGTAAAAATGTATGCGCACATGACTGTAAGTCGCTTTGGATAAAAGCGTCTGCTAAATGGCATATTTCTGTTCTCAAGGCGAAGGAGCAAGGGAAAGCAGAGGTAGAGGAGCTTCTTTCCAAACTGGAGAAGGTATGTCGTAATGAACTGTATTGCTGAGGAGATAATAGACAATGTGCTCACCCATACTCTTCAAAAATGGTTGGGTTCTGAATCCTAATTTTACCATAGAGAATTAAATGGATAATATCAAAAATGTATGTATAGCCTTGCACTGATGCGTTTTGGCCTCCGCCTTCTTCAGCGTGCAGAGATTAGGTCCCATTATTGATAGATCAATTTCACACATTGACATTACAGTCAGTTAATCTTTCATACTGTTTTTCAGACCAATGCTGAACAGCAAGTGAAAATCCAGGAACTCCAAGACAAACTTTCCAAGGTACATTTTCTATTGTTTTCTTCTGACGACACACACACTCACACGCACACACACACACTATGGGGAATTGCTTTAACTAATAATTTGACATTTGTTAGACATTTTGGCAATTAAGCCCTTAATTGCCAAAAAGGTCGACCTATCCCTTTAATGGACCCAAATGAATAGTTAGTCATCAGCTGTTATCACTGTGGTCCAATAGGTACATAGCTCTGAATAGTTTTAATGTAATGAGTCATAGACATTCACAGTTCACACAAGTCGTGAGAAACAACTATTCTTGGCTAAATGCCAGTGCCATTTATGTGTATTGTGTCATGCCCTTTGCTCCCTCGGTGTTGGAAAACTTGGCATTAAAAAGTAATGAAACCTAAGGGGCTTTGTTGTCTCCATACGGTGTCTCATTTGACCCTTGACCCCCAGGCAGTGAAAGCCAGCACAGAAGCCACAGAGCTGTTGCAGAACATCCGGCATGCTAAAGAACGTCTGGAGCGGGAGCTGGAGCGCCTGCGAGGCAAGGCCGACCCCAGCGACACCCTCCGACGACGTCTAAGAGAGACCGAGGTACAGACTATACAGTCATATTTGTGTTTGTTTGTTTTATTGTTTGTATTGTAATATAATGTATTTCAGTGTTGTTGACTGTCCTGTGGGAATTATTATGAACTTGAACTTGAACGTTGTGTGTCCTGCAGGAGGGTAAGAAGACCCTGGAGAACCAGGTGAAGCGTCTGGAGATGGTGGAGCGGAGGGAGAACAAGCTGAAGGACGATATCCAGACCAAATCCCAGCAGATCCAGCAGATGGCTGATAAGATCCTGGTGAGAGATGAGGGATAAGGCTCCTCTTAATACAGTGACCCCCCACCACTCCTCTATCCCTCTCTGCCTTACCCCCTTATCCCAGAACACAGGGTAGAGTGGGCACATACACGCACAGTCGTATAGAATGCACAGTCGCATGCGCACACACACACACACACACACACACACACTCACACAGGAAATACCCTGCATGCTGCCCCATTGCATGCACACGCACACATTTTTATCACTTGGGATGTCCCGCCTGCTGTCACAAGCCACAACAGATCCGCCGCTCACACAGGGGACGTCTTTCCTTACACATTCACGCTGGCTGGGCTGCACGCCAGCATGAAAGGCCACCACTACCACTGTGTCATGGACAAACAGCTCTTCCAAGCAAGTTTCTCTGTAATGGACTTAGTGACAGTGTGGATAGTGCTTTCATTATCCATATTGTGTTTCCTTTTCTGTTCATTTAGTAGTTTCTTCTTGTTACGTTGTGTACTTGTGGATATTAATGGCTGTGTGTGTTTGCTGGTACAGGAGCTGGAGGAGAACCTGAGGGAGACCCAGTCCACAGCCCAGCGGATGGAGGCTCACCTGGTGCAGAAGGAGAGGCTCTACGAGGACAAAATGAAGGTGGAGTGGACTTTCAGTCATCCTTGCGACCTGCATGATGAACAGGCTGTTTTTATATATTGAAAAGTGTGGCCAAAGTCAGCTACCTGGTCACCTGGCTTTGTTGATCCCCTTGAACCAGGGGTCATGTTCAATACGGCAGACCGTAGCAAAATAATTTTTGCAACTGAAATACTGAAATTTGTGTTCTTATTGGACAAGGTCCGGTAGTACCTCCACATTTCACTCAGTTTCAACCAGTTTTTCTCCCTACTGAACACTACCCAGATCCTTGAGGCCCAGATGAAGGTGGACCTGGCAGAGAAGGAGAGCTTGGAGTCCAAACGGGCCCAGCACCAGGAAGAGGCCCGGGAGAAGTGCAAGCTCCTCAGTGAACAGAAAGCAGTAAGGACCATTTTCACAGAGATGTACATTGTGTTCTACTTCTGTTTCTCTGCCAACCTCATCAATTCTGCTCCAGCCTTATTTCTCCTGTTCAATTCAGTGATCAAACAGTGCTAAGAAACCAACATGAAACAAGGCGCAGCTGAAAAAGTTTTAACTAGCGTACTCGCTTTGCACTTTTTAACTGACTGCACTTCGATTCAATTTATTTAAAAATGTTCCTCACAAAGCTGTGTTGATTGTCCATACAGTACGTGCAGGGCTGTAAAGTGCAACAGTGCTTGCATTTTGGAGATAAAAATTCTGTGCAAAGTGAACATTAATGTGAATTAAATCGCTTGTGTGTAAGTCGGTCAGTCGCGAGACTGTAGCTAAAAGTGGAGATGAGAACATTGAATGAAGCACATCATAAGCTGCATGTTATAGAACAGGAGCAAGCCAATTAAGCGAGCAAGCTGAATAAAAGGGACCACGTAGGCAGGAGCCTCAGAGACTTCTGCTACAGCTTGTGTTTGTTTGAGGACAGATTCTCTGACATGTTTATGGGCTAAGTTCTGTTTGTTTTCTTTGGCGCTACGCTCAATTTGTCAATGGGAATCTTGTGGAGGTTAAAGGCTGAGATAATTCAGAGTATTCCGTTACACCGGGTTGCTCTGCAAAGTCCTGGATTAAGTCTGTAATCTGGTTAATGTGATAGACTTGAGTAATTCCTGCTAATAGGCTTTAGGACCAGAGCCAGACGACATTTGACATTGACAGAAAGGGATTCTGGCCTACACCTAAATGTAGCCTTAGCCTATGTATTCAATTCTTTTAGCGTTTCAATACAGTAGCTACAATCAGAGCCATATGTTTAATTTATATGGCTTTTATATTTAGTCCCAGTCTGAATATATGGGTCTGGCTACAATCTTCTACCATTTCTTCAACAATTTCAGATGTCTGTGTTTTCATGGGAGTGATGAACAATGAACACATTATTTTGTGTGTGATGTAAACCTTCGGCTTCATAAATAGATAGGATCACTTTGCATCCACGTCTCAAATATTGTGATACAGTGCTGCCTCGTGAAATTTTGTCACACCCGCCCTGGCACAGTTTTCACATTATGTTCCCTTAAATTGAAATGTAGAAATGCATTACATTTGGGTTTTATTTCACATATTATTTCACATATTTACATCAAAGTGTGATGCACTTTTTTTTTTCAGACCATCAACGCTATGGACTCCAAGATGAAGAATCTGGAACAACGGATCGACGAACTCTCCGAGGCCAACAAGCTAGCCACTAACAGTAGCATCTATACCCAGAAAAACATGTGAGTGTTGTGGCCTTCAACTGGGACTCCACACCCAACTAAACCCTCATGCCATCCCCTCAGAGAACCAAAGTTGCATACGTTACCGAACAAGTTTACTATTATTCCCCAAACAATGCATTTTTGGGTTGAAACCTCAATGGTCTCTCTCTCTGTCTGGCTGTGGTTGTGGCAGGAAAGCCCAGGAGGAGATGATCTCGGAGCTGAGGCAGCAGAAGTTCTACCTTGAGTCCCAGGCGGGGAAGCTGGAGGCCCAGAACGCCAAGCTGGAGGAGCACCTTGAGAAGATGAACCAGCAGGAGCAGAGCAAGAGGAGCCGTCTGCTGGAGATGGAGACCATGCTCCGAGAGGTGAGAGTTGAAGTGAATAAACTTTATTGATCCCCAGAGGGGAAATTGGATAAATGGGAGAGGATCCAGAGGAAAGGGCCACCTGTATGGTGCAACAATAAGACTTTATTGGCTGGTTTCCTAGACACTGAATAAGCCTAGTCCTGGACTAAAAAGCATGCTCAGTGAAAAATCTCCATTGAAAGTGATTTCTAGGCCAGGACCAGGCTTAATCAATATCTGGGAAACCAGCCCTAAAAGTGTTGACTTTGGCTGGTATTTGCACAAAGCTACTTGCATGCAGTTTCAAGTGATACATCACCTCAAGCAACTTTACTGTTCCAAAAAAACAATCCATACCTTAGAAACCCACACCCATGTATTATAAAATCCAAAGCAAAGCGATGACCCTTTAACCTCTGACCCTTTAACCTTTGGTGTTCTAGATGGGCCTGGAGCACGAGGAGCAGAAGCTGGAGATCAAGCGTCAGGTGACGGAGCTGACATTGTCGCTGCAGGAGCGGGAGTCCCAGATCAGCGGGCTGCAGGCGGCACGCCACGCCCTGGAGAGCCAGCTGCAGCAGGCCAAGACAGAGCTGGAGGACACCACCGCCGAGGCCGAGGAGGAGATCACTGCCCTCAGGGTAGGACAGGATATGAGAGGACGTTGGCAGGACAACCAGACAAGTCAACACACATATACACAACCAACCTGACTTATGTAAATCACACTGAGGTCAAGAATAATAATGTATAATAATATATGCCATTTAGCAGATGCTTTTATCCAAAGCGACTTAGTCATTCGTGCGTACATTTTAGTTGTCGGTGGCCCCGGGAATCGAACCCATAATTATTTTGTTTTTTTCAGGCTCACAGAGATGAAATCCAACGCAAGTTTGACGCCCTGAGAGACAGTTGCTCAGTAAGTAGAAATTGTCGGCATTCCAAACGCAGGAAATGGCGGTATAGCATGTTGACTTTTTGTGCGTTCAAGCAAAGCAATGAAACATGTACTTATTGAATTCTGTTCGTTTGTATGTGTTTCCACCCCCATCAGGTGATCACAGACCTGGAGGAGCAGCTGACCCAGCTGAGCCAGGAGAACGCCGAGCTGAACAGACAGAACTTTTACCTATCCAAGCAGCTGGATGAGGCCTCGGACGAGACGGACGACCGCCTGCAGCTGGGACAGGACGTGGACAGCCTCCGCCGCGAGGTGGCCGACCGAGAGATGCACCTCAACAACCAGAAACAGGTGACAGACGTCTGCTCATCATTTGTTCCCTTTAACTTCCTGAATGTTTGTTGAATGTTTGTGATACGTTCAATGACTGCTTGTAGAACATAGAGACGCTGAAGATCAACTGGACCTAGAGATGTATACAGACTCAGCATAGGAAGCGACAAGTGTATCAGGTCGTTATTGCAAAAGAGAATGTGTTCTCAATGACTTACCTGGTTACATAAAGGCATACCTAGTTACATAAAGGCATACCTAGTTACATAAAGACAAAATGAAACAAGTGACTGGTGTGCCTGTAGAACATTGAGACTCTGAAGACAACGTGCAGCATGCTGGAGGAACAGGTTGTGGAGCTGGAGAGCATGAATGATGAGCTGCTGGAGAAAGAGAGACAGTGGGAGGCCTGGAGGGGAGCCCTGGAGGACGAGAAGAACCAGGCCGAGAGGAGGACCCGAGACATGCAGCGCCTGATGGACAACGAGAAGCAGAACAGGCAAATACACACACACACACACACACACACGCCGGGTATCATACACACACGTAACATGAGCAGGTGATATACACACACGCACAAGCGTTAATATGTACACACATTCACACGTGTCATACACACCCACACCATCATACATAAACACACATCAAACACCCATACACACTACATAGTATATACACATGTGCTCATCTCATATTGACATTCGCAAAGGCCTGCACACAAAACACACACTGGTATCACACATACTAATCATGCAAACATAGTTTCCTACCAACACACAGCTGTGCACACACAGTGAATGTTATGTTTCCATGTGTGCATAGGCTGCGTGCGGACCAGCGCAGTACCCAGTCTCGCCAGGCGGTGGAGCTAGCAGTCAGGGAACACAAGGCGGAGATCTCGTCTCTGCAGCAAGCTCTGAAAGAACAGAGACTGAAGGCTGAGAGTCTCTCTGATATGGTGAGTCTTGTGTAGAGCGTGACACTAGCAACGTCAGGTTTGTGGGTTTGATTCCTGTTGGGGTCAAATATACTAAGAAAATATGCACTGTAAGGCGCTTGGATAAAAGTGTCTGCTAAATGGCATGTTATATTTAAGCAATAAGGCCCGGGGGGTGTTTTAGATGGCCAATATACCACGGCTAAGGGCTGTTCTTAGGCACGACGCACCCCCGAGGTACCTTATTGCTATTATAAACTGGTTACCAACGTAATTAGAGCAGTCAAAAAATGTGTTTTGTCATACCCGTGGTATACGGTCTGCGGTCTGATATACCACATTTACATTTTACATTTACGTCATTTAGCAGACGCTCTTATCCAGAGCGACTTACAAATTGGTGCATTCACCTTATAGCCAGAGGGATAACCACTTTACAATGGTTTTTTTTTTTTTTAAATTTATTTGGGGGGTGGGGTAAGGGGGGGGTAGAAGGATTACTTTATCCTATCCCAGGTATTCCTTAAAGAGGTGGGGTTTCAAGTGTCTCCGGAAGGTGGTGAGTGACTCCGCTGTCCTGGCGTCGTGAGGGAGCTGGTTCCACCATTGGGGTGCCAGAGCAGCGAACAGTTTTGACTGGGCTGAGCGGGAACTGTGATTCCGCAGAGGTAGGGGGGCCAGCAGGCCAGAGGTGGATGAACGCAATGCCCTCGTTTGGGTGTAGGGACTGATCAGAGCCTGAAGGTACGGAGGTGCCGTTCCCCTCACAGCTCCGTAGACAAGCACCATGGTCTTGTAGCAGATGCGAGCTTCAACTGGAAGCCAGTGGAGTGTGCGGAGGAGTGGGGTGACATGAGAGACCTTGGGAAGGTTGAACACCAGACGGGCTGCGGCATTCTGGATGAGTTGTAGGGGTTTAATGGCACAGGCAGGTAGCGAGTTGCAGTAATCCAGACGGGAGATGACAAGTGCCTGGATTAGGACCTGTGCCGCTTCCTGTGTAAGGCAGGGTCGTACTCTCCGAATGTTGTAGAGCATGAACCTACAGGATCGGGTCACCGCCTTGATGTTAGCGGAGAACGACAGGGTGTTGTCCAGGGTCACGCCAAGGCTCTTCGCACTCTGGGAGGAGGACACAACGGAGTTGTCAACCGTGATGGCGAGATCATGGAACGGGCAGTCCTTCCCCGGGAGGAAGAGCAGCTTCGTCTTGCCGAGGTTCAGCTTGAGGTGGTGATCCGTCATCCACACTGATATGTCTTCCAGACATGCAGAGATGCGATTCGCCACCTGGTTATCAGAAGGGGGAAAGGAGAAGATGAGCTGTGTGTCGTCTGCGTAGCAATGATAGGAGAGGCCATGTGAGGATATGACAGAGCCAAGTGACTTGGTGTATAGCGAGAATAGGAGAGGGCCTAGAACTGAGCCCTGGGGGACACCAGTGGTGAGAGCACGTGGTGCGGAGACAGATTCTCGCCACGCCACTTGGTAGAAGCGACCGGTCAGGTAGGACGCAATCCAAAAGTGAGCCGCGCCGAAGATGCCCAGCTCGGAGAGGGTGGAGAGGAGGATCTGATGGTTCACAGTATCAAAGGCAGCAGACAGGTCTAGAAGGACAAGAGCAGAGGAGAGAGAGTTAGCTTTAGCAGTGCGGAGAGCCTCCGTGACACAGAGAAGAGCAGTCTCAGTTGAATGACCAGTCTTGAAACCTGACTGGTTTGGATCAAGAAGGTCATTCTGAGAGAGATAGCAAGAGAGTTGGCTAAAGACGGCACGCTCAAGAGTTTTGGAGAGAAAAGAAAGAAGGGATACTGGTCTGTAGTTGTTGACATCAGAGGGATCGATTGTTGGTTTTTTGAGAAGGGGTGCAACTCTCGCTCTTTTGAAGACGGAAGGGACATAGCCAGCGGTCAAGGATGAGTTGATGAGCGAGGTGAGGTAAGGGAGAAGGTCACCGGAGATGGTCTGGAGAAGAGAGGAGGGGATAGGGTCAAGCGGGCAGGTTGTTGGGCGGCTGGCCATCACAAGTCGCAAGATTTTATCTGGAGAGAGAGGGGAGAAAGAAGTCAAAGCATAGGGTAGGGCAGTGTGAGCAGGACCAGCAGTGTCATTTGACTTAACAAACGAGGATTGGATGTCGTCAACCTTCTTTTCAAAATGGTTGACGAAGTCATCCACATAGAGGGAGGGGGAGGGGGGGGGGATTCAGCAGGGAGGAGAAGGTGGCAAAGAGCTTCCTAGGGTTAGAGGCAGATGCTTGGAATTTAGAGTGGTAGAAAGTGGCCTTAGCAGCAGAAACAGATGAAGAAAATGTAGAGAGGAGGGAGTGAAAAGATGCCAGGTCCGCAGGGAGTCTAGTTTTCTACCATTTCCGCTCGGCTGCCCGGAGCCCTGTTCTGTGAGCTCGCAATGAGTCATCAAGCCACGGAGCAGGAGGGGAGGACCGAGCCGGCCGGGAGGATAGGGGACATAGAGAGTCAAAGGATGCAGAAAGGGAGGAGAGGAGGGTTGAGGAGGCAGAATCAGGAGATTGGAGGGAGAAGGATTGAGCAGAGGGAAGAGATGATAGGATGGAAGAGGAGAGAGTAGCTGGAGAGAGAGAGCGAAGGTTGCGACGGCGCATTACCATCTGAGTAGGGGCAGAGTGAGTAGTTTTGGAGGAGAGCGAGAGAGAAAAGGATACAAAGTAGTGGTCCGAGTCATGCAGGGGAGTTGCAGTGAGATTAGTAGAAGAACAGCATCTAGTAAAGATGAGGTCAAGCGTATTGCCTGCCTTGTGAGTAGGGGGGGACGGTGAGAGGGTGAGGTCAAAAGAGGAGAGGAGTGGAAAGAAGGAGGCAGAGAGAAATGAGTCAAAGGTAGACGTAGGGAGGTTGAAGTCACCCAGAACTGTGAGGGGTGAGCCATCCTCAGGAAAGGAACTTATCAAGGCGTCAAGCTCATTGATGAACTCTCCAAGGGAACCTGGAGGGCGATAAATGACAAGGATGTTAAGCTTGAATGGGCTAGTGACTATGACAGCATGGAATTCAAATGAGGAGATAGACAGATGGGTCAGGGGAAAAAGAGAGAATGTCCACTTGGGAGAGATGAGGATTCCTGTGCCACCACCCCGCTGACCAGATGCTCTTGGGGTATGCGAGAACACATGGTCAGACGAGGAGAGAGCAGTAGGAGTAGCAGTGTTTTCAGTGGTAATCCATATTTCCGTCAGCACCAAGAATTCGAGGGACTGGAGGGTAGCATAGGCTGAGATGAACTCTGCCTTGTTGGCCGCAGAACGGCAGTTCCAGAGGCTGCCGGAGACCTGGAACTCCACGTGGGTCGTGCGTGCAGGGACCACCAGGTTAGAGTGGCAGCAGCCACGCGGTGTGAGGCGTTTGTATAGCCTGTGCGGAGAGGAGAGAACAGGGATAGACAGAGGCATAGTTGACAGGCTACAGAAAATGGCTACAATAATGCAAAGGAGATAGGAATGAAATGAACTAAACATCTGGGAAAGCGAGAGAGCGGGGCCTCCCTCACTTACGTTTCACTGAAACACCCAAATATAACTCTCCCAACTTCCACCTCAGAAACTATAATTGTTGTAAACTACAGTGGTTCAATGTTTTCTAGGAATAGACTAACTTAGTTTATTCAGCTAGTTAACTTGGTACAGTATTCTTCCGTGAAAACTGTCCAGGGCACCTAGTCATAAGACGCCACAGCCAGCTAGCATGCTGGACTCCAACAACACGGTTTAGCACCAATACTCGGCCAAAACAAACCACCAGTGTGTCAACACGCCAAGCAGATCATTCGTGTCCGTGTCTAACGTTGTGGGTTAGTCCCGACAGCTTGAGCGAGTCCGTCGTCAACTTATTCAGCCAGTTAGTTAGCTAGAATAGTTAGCATACTAGCTAGCCATTGCTTTCAGACAAAGAAGAAACCCCTCCTCCCACGGCACGAACACACAGAGAGAGCCAAGCTAACGTTAACTAGTCACCCATGTCCCGAATTCCCTTGAACGACTCTGGCTACCAGTATGTAAAAACAAAACACAAATGTAGGTTATAACTTACCCCTAGCAGCTACTGTTAGCTAGCCAAGTGCAAAGCTAGCCACTGAATTGACTCAGCCAGTTCGCGTCTGTTCGCTAGGTCGTTCAAGCTATTGTTTACTAGTAGCTATCCATGTAGCAACAAGCTAGCTAAATCTCAAGCACAGTAGCCACTTACTACCTAACGTTAACGCTTCAGACAATGAGGTTAGAAAAACAGCTGAATGGTAGGCATTATTGTATGTAATTATTGTAGGCAGCTAGCTGGCGTAATTACAGGTACTCTCAGGCGTGAAACAACTATCCACAGTTGCTAATAGTTACCAGTAGCTACCCGCTAGCTAGTCCAGATAGTGGGTTAGCTAGCTTCGTGCTTCACCGGGCTCAGCCGAATACAATACTAACCTACAATAATTACATACAACAACCCACGATAACTACCTACAATACCTAACTACAATCTAAATACATTGTTTAAGCTTTACTCGACAAAGCCCAAACTATGTATATAAGCCATATAAGCCAAGCTTACCTCCCGCCAGAGAGAGACACAACCTCACCCGACGATGACGACGACGGCTGTCAGCCAATAAGCATTCAGGGCTCGAACCACCTAGTTCATAATATTATGATTATTTTACACACATTTTTTATCTGTGTGTTGTCAGCTGAATGACCTGGAGAAGAAGCACACCATGCTGGAGATGAACGCCCGCACCCTGCAGCAGAAACTGGAGACAGAGAGGGAGCTGAAGCAGAGGCTGATGGATGAGGTAGAAAGTACCTCACAGTGCTGATCTAGGATCAGTTTTGCCTTTTAAATAATAATGAATAAGATAACATGGACATAGGGGGGCTGATCCTAGATCAGCACTTCACCTCTGAAACTTTTTGTGAAGACGAGCCCAAGTGAGATAGAACTGTAAAGAGTTAACAAAATAGCTTTAGCTTGTCTTGGAATGATGTGTGTTTGTGTGGTGACCTCCCCACCACAGCAAGGCAAGCTGCAGCAGCAGATGGACCTACAGAAGAGCCACATCTTCCGTCTGACCCAGGGCCTGCAGGATGCTCTGGACCAGACTGACCTGCTGAAGACTGAGAGGACCGACCTGGAGTACCAGCTGGAGAACATTCAGGTGACATTACACTCACTCCCACTTAGACTGTTATTACACTGCTGAGCTGAGCTGTACGGGCCTGGGAGGTATTCATTAGGCACCAAACGGACTGAAACAGGGAGGGACTACGTGGTCTTGTCCAATAAGAAACGCTAATTTTCGCTTTGAAAAGTTTTCTGTTGCGTTCCCTAATGAATACGACCCATACATCCGCCATAGTTGCTGGAACACAGCTGCTACAGCTAGTTCAATTTGAGATGTTAGCTGGTACTCTTATATTGAGGCTGATTCTGAGATGTTGCTCCTCTTCTTCTCCCACCACACTCAGGCTGTCTATTCTCATGAGAAAGTCAAGATGGAGGGCACCATTTCTCAGCAGACCAAACTGATTGACTTCCTACAGGCCAAAATGGACCAGCCCACCAAGAAGAAGAAGGTGAGAGAACTCAGTGATGGAAATCTGGTAAATCGCACAGTCTGCATAGGAGCAGATGTTTATTGTTCTTCGAGAGGACACTCACTACACACACACACACAGATTTTTCATTTATCGTGGTCCCGTGTAGCTCAGTTGGTAGAGCATGGCACTTGCAACGCCAGGGTTGTGGGTTTGACTCCCATTGGGGACCAGTACGAACAAATATGAAAAGGTATGCACTCACTACTGTAGGTCACTCTGGTTAAGAGCGTCTGCTAAATGACTAAAATGTAAATGTTATCTCAACGAGAATGAAAACACACACAGAGACATTATAATGTCACTGTATGTGAGAGAAGCACCCTCTCTTTCTCCTGCCAGGGTATCTTTGGCCGTCGCCGTGAGGAGCTGGGGTCCAATGGGAACGGTGCTGGGGGATCCGGGGCCCAGGCTCAGCCGGCGCTGCCCATGCAGTACAGTGACATGAAGGTGGCCCTGGAGAAGGAGAGGACACGCTGCTCAGACCTGGAGGAGGCCCTGCAGAAGATGAGGATAGAGCTGAGATCACTAAGAGAAGAGGGTAAGAGGGTGGGTGGTGTTGGCAACAACCTCTTACAGGATCTAGGCCCATATTCATAAAGCCTCTGAGAGCAGGAGTGCTAATCTAGGATCAGGTGCCCCCCTGTCCATGCAATATTATTAATTATGATCTAAAAGGCAAAACTGAGTTGTTTGTGAATATATGCCCTGATGGTTGTCATAGTGTCTGGTTCAAATCCTGGACTGTATCCTGTCCTTTCCTTGAACTTCTCACTGATCTGACATAATATTGGGGAGAGCTGTCCAGTGGAATGCTGTCTTTATTCAGGGGAGTGAGGATACGTTTTTGAAGTATTTGAATACGGTCATTGTATATTGATGATGGGGACATGAAGCAACGTTTCTGGTGTGTCGAAGTGTGCCAGATGTACCCAAAGGCTAACGTTTCCCCTGCCTTCCTCCCCGGGGGTGGCAGGTAGCCTGGCGGGCAGGAGTGTTGGGCCAGTAACCGAAAGGTTGCTGGATTGAATCCCTGAGCTGTCAAAAGGTAAAAATGTGTCATTCTGCCCCTGAGCAAGGCAGTTAACCCACTGTTCACCGGGCGCCGAAGACATGGATGTCGATTAAGGCAGCCCTCTGCACTTCTCTGATTCAGAAGGGTTGGGTTAAATGCGGAAGACACATTTTAGTTAAATGCATTCAGTTGTACAACTTTCCCCCCAGCGGCCCATTTCAAAGCCTCAGAGCATGCCCCGGCCATGCCTGCCTCTTCCCGCCAGCAGATCCTCATGTCGGCCATCGTCAAGTCCCCTGAGCTCCAGCCCAACCCCAGCAGCCTCCTTGCCCGCTGCAAGGAGAGCTCCACTCCAGAGGGTAAGTCCCACAGCCCCTGCTCTCTGTCTTTTGTCGCTCTCTCTCTCTCTCATTTTCTCTCTCGCCTTGCTATCTTCTGCTGTCACCTAGCCACTTTTAGAACTCTTTTTTTTTCTCTCTCTTATTCTGCTCACAGAGAAGCGAAGAGTAACTTTTGAAAGTAAGTGTATTCCCAGTTTGAAACTGTTTTTGTGCTTGTTGTGTTCATCTCTTCGCTGTAACTGGTTCATGGGGCACATTTACAATGCTTGTCTGCATCTGAGGTGCATGTGATGCAGGGTTTCCATTAGCCGGTAAATGCTATCTTTTGGCAATTTTTTGTTTTTTTTAAGCAGATAAATCAAATTGTTGCCAGCCAAATTGTCCTGGGGAAAAAAATCCATTGCAAAATAATGCTATTTTTTTTGTTTGTTTAAAAAAACATTTTAAATACCAGTCGATGTGCTCCAACTTCAAAGGCAAATAAATCCTCAAGCTGCTTGGAAATGTACTTGACAAAGCAAAATAGGTCCTCATAAGGGACTTCAGCTAAGTGTACCCCGACTGGCAAAATTGACGAAGATTGTGTTGATTATCCCAGTTTCTAGTGTGAGGGGATTCTTTCTCCAAAACAGAGTAAAGAGTGCCTCAAGATCACACCTTCTCGAGGACAAAGTAACGAGGCTGATGCGCATCGCAAGCTGCTCCAAGGAGTTGGACAGTTTTGACTTCCCAACAGCAGTGGCTCACTTTGAGCAGGCCATCGTCTGCCGCAAACACAAGTAAATTAGAGGCAAATTCTTGTGTTCGTCAGGCCCGGTCCTAGAAGTTCTGCTGCCGCCCTAGGCAAGATCAATATATGCCACCTCTGTGTCATGTAGTATAGACGCCAGCAATGCATGTTAATAGTATGAAGATTGGAATAGATTGATAGACTAAAGTAATGATGTGTATCATGCGCAATTGGTGCATTTTAGTTGAGCTTATTCAGGAGTATTTGGAAACGAAACATCGTTGCCAACTATTCACATTGGAGAGTTGATCTCACTAGGCACAGAGTTGTTATCAATAAGCCACGTATATCACACATTACACAAGTCACGACCCCACTATAATTCAAATTACAATAAACATAACATTTATTAACATCATCCAGTAGAACTGTAAAAAGAGTGAGATATAATTTGATCTTTGGAAACCAGTGCTTTCATAAATGCATGGCACGGGCCTCGTTTCACAGGAGAATTGTAAAATAAGCTTTCTCTCAATGAACCAGCCTTAACCAATTTTGTTTATTTACATATCGAATTTGATTGTCCAACATCAGTTTGATAATTTCTTCATTTTGTGGCCGCCTAGAGTGTCCTCTTTCCACTGCTGTGGTGCTACGGGCCGACCCGGTCATGGCTAGAAGGGTCCAGCTTTTGTCAAACAAATGTCAAAAGTTATTAATTTTTTGTGCATTTTAGCAAACCCCAACCCTTTTCTTAACCTTAACCTAATTCTCCTAACCTGCTACATTAATTCTCCTAAACTGCTGCGTAAATTCTCCTAACCTGCTTCAAAAAGACAAATCTGATATGAATTTGACAAAAGCTGTATTCCTTCTCGCCATGACCTGCTGGCCCTGGTGTTCGTAGACGGACATATTTTGTTATTTATTAGGGCTAAATCAAATTAGAGAGAGTCCTAGATTGTATTTGAAAACCGCTGTTTATTTATTAATTACAATTTTCATACAAATAGCCTATAGGGTCGTTCGCAAATTATATTATACAAATATAATATTTAGAAGTTGGGTTTTATTACTGTTTTTTTTTTTTATATTCATTTATGATTTATTACAGGGATGAAGATGCAATGGGCAATGTTTTGCTTTTCAATAAAACCTGTCATGTTAGTATAAGAACATAATTCTCCTTTATTTTATTAAAACTTTACAGGCTAATTTCTATTCTGGTAAGATTAATTACAATAATCAAAATGTGATTTTGAGCACCTTGGGTGGATGCCCTAATGCGTTAAGCACCCAATGCATATATAGATGTCCGGTACATTTCTCAAATGTCCTGTATATTGAAATCTTGCCGGTCACATTGTTCGGCGCCAAAGTTTCCTAACAGAAACCATGATGTGATGCTGGCAGGGTTATTGGCTGAAGGAACAAGTGTCTAGAGTATCAGTAGGCAAAAATAGCGAGTGATTCAGAATGCAATCAGGAAATGCTCCAGCAGTTGGTAAACAAGATGGGGGTGGGTCTTGGCAAATGTAACCGCCACTGAGTTATATTAAATTCTGTGCCAAACGCCCTCAAACGCAAAGAAGAGGGTAAGGTTCAGGACTTCTGGTTTACAGTTCGCTGCATTTGTTGATAACGAAATCTGAAAATACTCTGGATACATTCAGTAACATAAGAATATTCCTGGAAAATGTGGTGTAGGTGCAACATAAGACAAAACAATTCCAAGGGTTTGAGTGAGAGGACTAACTGGTGTCTCCAATGGCCACACACCTCTCCAAGGTGTGCAGGGTTCCTAAGTCATTTCAATGCACTTTCAGAACAGTCTCCTAGCTGTGCCATTGAGGAACTAGGTTAAGCACACTTGTAGTAGTTTTTTTTGGAACCCCATCACACGCCATCCAAAAACGTCCCATTATAAATGGGCCTCCTGTAGCTCAGTTGGTAGAGCATGGCGCTTGCAACGCCAGGGTTGTGGGTTCGATTCCCACGGGGGCCAGTATGAAAAATGTATGCACTCACTAACTGTAAGTCGCTCTGGATAAGAACGTCTGCTAAATTACTAAAATGTAAAATGTAAATATATCGCAATCTGGGTCAGGTGGACATCATTTTAAAGCTTGTTATATTGCCAACATGACTAGCTAAGTTATAAAATACGATCTTACAGTGTTAGGCTTTCACAGGGCAATTCAGAGAAAATATATACATTTTTGTGCTCGTAGAAAGGAGTCGTGTTCATTCAGGTGCGTGCATTCAGATGCGTGTTGCGCGGAAAATTATCTTCACAATAGACAAACAGGCTCATTCTGTTCAGAACAACCCAGGGTATGACGACATGTCATCTTGTAACTGTACATCAAACATAGTGATCATAAACATTGACACTGTATATGACATGAGTTTTATGATATGGAAATGTGAAGTGCACATTTGGACTCACGGTTGTTTGGCTTGCTTGTATGACATCAAAGCGGTATTTATTATAATCCTCAACATCTCATCTTCGAAATATACTGAGTCATCTTAATTTACAGCAAATCACTCACTCAGACAACAAAAAATGTGCAGAAATTCCCCAATTAGCGGGAGGGATTATGGGGGCAACGTCTTGTCGTGTGCGGTGCTCAAGTTTAGAAAGGCTGTCAGTCAAAACCCATACAGAGCTGTGAAGCGGTGAGCTCTGACGTCATTTATAGCATGTTACCATACAGCCACTGTGTTCCAATTTAGGTGCTTATCACTGCCCAAATCTGCCATTTTCAACCCGTATACAGGGATGAGTGTAAAGGGTTAACCAGCCTTTCTTTTTGCAAAGCTAAGTAGATCTTAAACCATTACATATTTTATAAATACCTACAGACATTGTCATCTGCATGATCCAACTCATAGTCATGGTTATGTCACTAGAACAGAGAACATGCAAGTGCAGAGAATTTTTTGGGTATACTATGCCTCGTATACCACTTGCTTAGTCTTGCTGTCAAAAAACTGCTGCTTTTTCATGTCAGGAACTTTTAAGTGACACAAACAATATAAAGTGCATTCGGAAAGTATTCAGACCCCTTGACTTTTTCCACATTTTGTTAAGTTACAGCCTTATTCTAAAATGGATTAAATCAACATTTTCCTCATCAATCTACACACAATACCCCATAATGACAAAGCGAAAACTGGTTTTTAGAAATGTTAGAACATTTATTACAAATAAAAACAGAAATACCTAATTTACATAAGTATTCAGACCCTTTGGTATGAGACCCGAAATTGAGCTCAGGTGCATCCTGTTTCCATTGATCATCCTTGAGATGTTTCTACAACTTGATTGGAGTCCACCTGTGATAAATTCAATTGATTGGACATGATTTGGAAATATATATAAGGTCCCACAGTTGACAGTGCGTGTCAGAGCAAAAACCAAGCCATGAGGTCGAAGGAATTCTCCGTAGAGCTCCGAGACTGGATTGTGTCGAGGCCCAGATCTGGGGAAGGGTACCAACAACTTTCTGCAGCATTGAAGGTCCCCAAGAACACAGTGGCCTCTGTCATTCTTAAATGGAAGAAGTTTGGAACCACCAAGACTCTTCCTAGAGCTGGCTGCACAGCCAAACTGAGCAATTGGGGGAGAAGGGCCTTGGTCAGGGAGGTTACCAAGGACCTGATGGTCACTCTGACAGAGCTCCAGAGTTCCTCTGTGGAAATGGGAGAACCTTCCAGAAGGACAACCATCTCTGCAGCACTCCACCAATCAGGCCTTTATGGTAGAGTGGCCAGACGAAAGCCACTCCACAACAAAAGGCACATGACAGCCCGCTTGGAGTTTGCCAAAAGGCACCTAAAGGACTCTCAGACCATGAGAAACAAGATCCTCTGGTCTAATGAAACCAAGATTGAACTCTTTGGCCTGAATGCCAAACGTCACATCTGGAGGAAACCTGGCACCATCCCTACGGTGAAGCATGGTGGTGGCAGCATCATGCTGTGGGAATGTTTTTCAGCGGCAGGGACTTGGAGACTAGTCAGGATCGAGAGAAAGATGAATGGATCAAAGTACAGAGAGATCCTTGATGAAAACCTTCTCCAGAGCGCTCAGGACCTCAGAATGGGGCGAAGGTTCACCTTCCAACAGGACAACAACCCTTAGCACACAGTCAAGACAACGCAGGAGTGGCTTCGGGACAAGTCTCGGAATGTCCTGGAGTGGCCCAGCCAGAGCCCGGACATGAACCCAATCGAACATCTCTGGAGAGACCTGAAAATAGCTGTGCAGCAACGCTCCCCATCCAACCTGACAGAGCTTGAGAGCATCTGCAGAGAAGAATGGGAGAAACTCCACAAATACAGGTGTGCCAAGCTTGCAGCGTCATACCCAAGAAGACTTGAGGCTGCAATCGCTGCCAAAGGTGCTTCAACAAAGTACTGAGTAAAGGGTCTGAATACTTATGTAAATGTGATGTATCATTTTTTAATGTTTTTATACATTTGCAAAAATTTCAAAAAACCTGTTTTTGCTTTGTCATTACGGGGTATTGACTGTAGATTGATAAGGGAAAAAAATTATTTAATCAATTTTAGAATAAGGATGTAACGTAACAAAATGTGAAAAAGTCAAGGGGTCTGAATACTTTACGAATGCACTGTATGTGCAAGACCACTGCAAACTCACTCATTCTAGTTTTCACTCATTTTCACTGTCTCTTTTCCTCCCTCAATCTTGTTGTAGAGTATGGGCGTCGTGTGAAGGAGAGGATGCACCACAACATCCCCCATCGTTTCACCGTAGGACTCAACATGAGGGCCACCAAGTGTGCTGTCTGCCTGGACACCGTGCACTTTGGACGCCAGGCCGCCACCTGCCTAGGTTAGTAGGTCCTACTGTACTTCACTGCCTTTCTTCCTCGTCATCACTGTTGTGGTAGCACTGCTGTTGAGCTCATGAGCAATGTCCCAGACCACTGCATTATGTTCATTACCAGGGCTCCAGACTGCGTCTACCTGCCCTTACAGTGGCTTGCGAAAGTATTCACTCCCCTTGGCATTTTTCATATTTTGTTGCCTTACAACCTGGAATTAAAATATATTTTTGGGGGGGTTTGTATCATTTGATTTACACAACATGCCTACCACTTTGAAGATGCAAAATATTTTTTCTTGTGAAACAAACAAGAAATAAGACAAAAAAAACAGAAAACTTGAGCGTGCATAACTATTCACCCCCCCAAAGTCAATACTTTGTAGAGCCACCTTTTGCAGCAATTACAGCTGCAAGTCTCTTGGGGTATGTTGGCACATCTAGCCACTGGGATTTTTGCCCATTCTTCAAGGCAAAACTGCTCCAGCTCCTTCAAGTTGGATGGGTTCCGCTGGTGTACAGCAATCTTTAAGTCATACCACAGATTCTCAATTGGATTGAGGTCTGGGCTTTGACTAGGCCATTCCAAGACATTGAAATGTTTCCCCTTAAACCACTTGAGTGTTGCTTTAGCAGTATGCTTAGGGTCATTGTCCCGCTGGAAGGTGAACCTCTGTCCCAGTCTCAAATCTCTGGAAGACTGAAACAGGTTTCCTTCAAGAATTTCCCTGTATTTAGCGCCATCCATCATTCCTTCAATTCTGACCAGTTTCCCAGTCCCTGCCGATGAAAAACATCCCCACAGCATGATGCTGCCACCACCATGCTTCGCTGTGGGGATGGTGTTCTCGGGGTGATGAGAGGTGTTGGGTTTGCGCCAGACATAGCATTTTGCTTGTTGGCAAAAAAGCTAAATTTTAGTCTCATCTGACCAGAGTACCTTCTTCTATATGTTTGGGGAGTCTCCCACATGGCTTTTGGCGAACACTTATTTTTTTCTTGAAGCAATGGCTTTTTTCTGGCCACTCTTCCGTAAAGCCCAGCTCTGTGGAGTGTACGGCTTAAAGTGGTCCTATGGACAGATACTCCAATATCCGCTATGGAGCTTTGCAGCTCCTTCATGGTTATCTTTGGTCTCTTAGTTGCCTCTCTGATTAATGCCCTCCTTGCCTGGTCCGTGAGTTTTGGTGGGCGGCCCTCTCATGGCAGGTTTGTTGTGGTGCCATATTCTTTCCATTTTTTAATAATGAATTTAATGGTGCTCTGTGGGATGTCCAAAGTTTCTGATATTTTTTTATAACCCAACCCTGATCTGTAGTTCTCCACAACTTTGTCCCTGACCTGTTTGGTGAGCTCCTTGGTCTTCATGGTGCCGCTTGCTTGGTGGTGCCCCTTGCTTAGTGGTGTTGCAGACTCTGGGGCCTTTCAGAACAGGTGTATATATACTGAGATCATGTGACACTTAGATTGCACACAGGTGGACTTAATTTAACTAATTATGTGACTTCTGAAGGTAATTGGTTGCACCAGATCTTATTTAGGGACTTCATAGCAAAGGGGGTGAATACATACAGTTGAAGTCGGAATTTACATACACTTAGGTTTTTCAACCACTCCACAAATTTCTTGTTAACAAACTATAGTTTTGGCAAGTCGGTTAGGACATCTACTTTGTGCATGACACAAGTAATTTTTCCAACAATTGTTTACAGACAGATTATTTCACTTATAATTCACTGTATCACATTTCCAGTGGGTCAGAAGTTTACATACACTAAGTTGACTGTGCCATTTAAACAGCTTGGAAAATTCCAGAAAATGATGTCATGGCTTTAGAAGCTTCTGATAGGCTAATTGACATCATTTGAGTCAATTGGAGGTGTACCTGTGGATGTATTTCAAGGCCTACCTTCAAACTCAGTGCCTCTTTTCTTGACATCATGGGAAAATCAAAAGAAATCAGCCAAGACCTCAGACAAATAATTGTAGACCTCCACAAGTCTGGTTCATCCTTGGGAGCAATTTCCAAACGCCTGAAGGTATCATGTTCATCTGTACAAACAATAGTACGCAAGTATAAACACCATGGGACCACGCAGCCGTCATACCGCTCAGGAAGGAGACGCGTTCTGTCTCCTAGAGATGAACGTACTTTGGTGCGAAAAGTGCAAATCAATCCCAGAACAACAGCAAAGGACCTTGTGAAGATGCTGGAGGAAACAGGTACAAAAGTATCTATATCCACAGTAAAACAAGTCCTATATCGACATAACCTGAAAGGCCGCTCAGCAAGGAAGAAGCCACTGCTCCAAAACCGCCATAAAAAAGCCAGACTACGGTTTGCAACTGCACATGGGGACAAAGATCGTACTTTTTGGAGAAATGTCCTCTGGTCTGATTAAACAAAAATAGAACTGTTCGGCCATAATGACCATCATTCTGTTTGGAGGAAAAAGGGGGACGCTTGCAAGCCGAAGAACACCATCCCGACCGTGAAGCACGGGGGTGGCAGCATCATGCTGTGGGGGTGCTTTGCTGCAGGAGGGACTGGTGCACTTCACAAAATAGATGGCATCATGAGGAAGGAAAATTATGTGGATATATTGAAGCAACATCTCAAGACATCAGTCAGGAAATTAAAGCTTGGTCGCAAATGGGTCTTCCAAATGGACAATGACCCCAAGCATTCTTCCAATGTTGTGGCAAAATGGCTTAAGGACAACAAAGACAAGATATTGGAGTGGCCATCACAAAGCCCTGACCTCAATCCTATAGAAAAAGCGTGTGCGAGCAAGGAGGCCTACAAACCTGACTCAGTTACACCAGCTCTGTCATGAGGAATGGGCCAAAATTCACCCAACTTATTGTGGGAAGCTTGTGGAAGGCTACCCGAAACGTTTGACCCAAGTTAAACAATTTAAATGCAATGCTACCAAATACTAATTGAGTGTATGTAAACTTCTGAACCACTGGGAATGTGATGAAAGGAATAAAAGCTAAAATAAATCATTCTCTCTACTATTATTTTGACATTTCACATTCTTAAAATAAAGTGGTGATCCTAACTGACCTAAGACAGGGAATTTATACTAGGATTAAATGTCAGGAACTGTGAAAAACTGAGTTTAAATGTATTTGGCGGTGTAAACTTCCGACTTCATCTGTATGCACGCACCACTTTATCGTTATTAATGTTTTAGATTTTTTGAAACAAGTTATTTTTTTCATTTCACTTCACCAATTTGGACTATTTTGTGTATGTCCATTACATGAAATCCAAATAAAAATCCATTTAAATTACAGGTTCTAATGCAACAAAATAGTAAAAGCGCCAAGGGGGATGAATACTTTTGCAAGGCACTGTATACCTCTTTTGCTGAGGCCTGCTGCTGTTTTGATCGAGCCACTCTCTCTCTCCTTTCTCGGGGAAAGAAATGCTCCCAGAGAAAGAAAGGTGTTCTGATTTGTATAACATTTAAAAATCCAAATGCAGGTAAAATACCGCTATCATGTTTTCACAGCTGAAGAGAGGTTTTCAGCTTTCTGTAGCTATGATTTCTGTTTTTTAACTCTCAAATTTGTGCTAATTAGCAACTATTTTACAACCGAAATATTTAATATACAGTACCAGTCAAAAGTTTAGATACAGCTACTCATTCCAGCGTTTTTCTTTATTTTTACTATTTTCTACCTTGTAGAATAATATTGAAGACATCAAAACTATGAAAGAACAGATATGGAATCATATAGTAAACAAATCAAAATATATTTTATATTTGAGATTCTTTAAAGTAGCCACCCTTTGCCTTGATGACAGCTTAGCACACTCTTGGTATTCTCTCAACCAGCTTCATGAGGTAGTCACCTGGAATGCATTTAAATTAACAAGTGTGCCTTGTTAAAAGTTAATTTGTGGAATTTCTTTCCTTCTTAATGCGTTTGAGCCAATCAGTTGTGTTGTGACAAGTTAGTGGTGGTATACATAAGGTAGCCCTATATGGTAAAATACCAAGTCCATATTATGGCAAGAACAGCTCAAATAAGCAAAGAGAAACGACAGTCCATCATTACTTTAAGACATGAAGGTCAGTCAATCCGGAAAATTTCAAGAACTTTGAACGTTTCTTCAAGTGTAGTCGCATAAACCATCAAGCGCTATGATGAAACTGGCTCTCATGAGGACCGCCACAGGAAAGGAAGACCCAGAGTTACCTCTGCTGCAAAGGATAAGTTCATTAGAGTTAACTGCACCTCAGATTGCAGCCCAAATAAATGCTTCACAGAGTTCAAGTAACAGACACATCTCAACATCAACTGTTCAGAGGAGACTGCGTGAATCAGGCCTTCATGGTCGAATTGCTGCAAAGAAACGACTACTAAAGGACACCAATAAGAAGAAGAGACTTGCTTCGGCCAAGAAACACGAGCAATGGACAATAGACTGGTGGAAATCTGTCCTTTGGTCTGATGAGTCCAAATTTGAGATTTTTGGTTCCAACCGGCGTGTCTTTGTGAGACGCAGAGTAGGTGAATGGATGATCTCCGCATGTGTGGTTCCCACCGTGAAGCATGGAGGAGGAGGTGTGATGGTGTGGGGGTGCTTTGCTGGTGACACTGTCTGTGATTTATTTAGAATTCAAGGCACACTTAACCAGCATGGCTAACATAGCATTCTGCAGCGATACGCCATCCCATCTGGTAAGGTGCTTAGTGGGACTATCATTTGTTTTTCAACAGGACAATGACCCAAAACACACCTCCAGGCTGTGTAAGGGCTATTTGACCAAGAAGGAGAGTGATGGAGTGCTGCATCAGATGACCTGGCCTCCACAATCCCCCGACCTCAACCCAATTGAGATGGTTTGGGATGAGTCGGACCGCAGAGTGAAGGAAAAGCAGCCAACAAGTGGGAACTCCTTCAGAAAAAGCAAGAAAAGCATTCCTCATGAAGCTGGTTGAGAGAATGCCAAGAGTGTGCAAAGCTGTCATCAAGGCAATGGGTGACTATTTGAAGAATCTCATTTGTTTAACACTTTTTTGGTTACTACATAATTCCATATATTTAAACTTTTTCTTGAAATCAAATTTTCCTAGTTTGTAGTCATTATTTTCTATAATAAGTTTTTGAATGATTCCTGACACTCGTATGCAGGTATGAAGATAAAATAGATTGACAACACAACTTCTCAGAGTACTGTGGTCCTCTGTAGCTCAATTGGTAGAGCATGGTGCTTGTAACGCCAGGGTAGTGGGTTCGATCCCCGGGACCACCCATACATAAAAATGTATGCGCACATGACTATAAGTCGCTTTGGATCTGCTAAATGGCATATTATTACTTGTTTTCAGCCACCATAACTCTAAAATCACTCCTCCAGAATTAATGCCTTTCCTTCTGTCTCTCTTCCTGGTCTACTGTAGAGTGCCACACCATGTGCCACCCCAAGTGCTCGCCCAGCCTTCCTGCCACGTGCGGCCTGCCGGCGGAGTATGCTACCCACTTCTCAGAGGCGTTGTGTCGGGAGAAGGCCAACTCCCCTGCCCTTCAGCTCAAAGAGGCCACTGGCCACGTACGCCTGGAGGGCTGGATGAAACAACCCAGGTCTGTGTTCTCATAGTAACCCCTTTATTATGGACATTCTTCTGTTTACCTGCCTTACCTTGCTTTATGTAGAGCACTTAGATCATCTTTTGTAAAGCCCTTTTTAAACTAAACGTATTTTTCCTTCCTTCCTCCTCCTCTTTCTTGGGAATGAGCTCTGGGTAGGGCCCTTTACAGGGAAAATGTAACACCTGTGAATGTTCTGGTTCATAATGTAAGGTGTGTGCGTCTCTGCAGGAACTCCAGGCGAGGTCAGCAAGGCTGGGAGAGGAAGTACGTGGTGCTGGATGGGACCAAGGTGTCCATCTATGATTCTGAACCCAGAGAAGGTACTGCTCCTTGACTTGACTCCCCTTTAGTGTTTATTCACCAGTGTTTTGGCAGTGTTTTCATGACCATGGTCTCCTGGGACTTATCCAATAGGAAATGGTAATTCTTTGTTTAGCGTTGTAAAACATTTTACTACGGTTTGCTCTAATGAATATGACCCTGGTGTGTTTCCAGACTCTCTGAAGCCAGAGGAGGAGTTTGAGCTGTGTCTCCCTGACGGAGAGGTGACCATCCATGGAGCTGTGGGAGCCTCGGAGCTCATCAACACGGCTAAGTCAGGTACGGTTACATTGCGCCTGTCTAATGCACTCATACTGTGCACAAGTAGATGAGGGTCCACCTGTCTCAACTTCTGATTTTCTGCAAAAATCCACCATCCGGAACAAGCGAAGTTAATGGTCCCTGCATTAAACCTAACAAAAGTTCTAGATGACTCCTCCAGCTTTTACTCATTTAAGTAGCTTAATCAGATGTGGGTGTGTGATCAAGTCATGCTTCTTCAATCTGTCATCTTGATGTTTTGGTGTGCTGTGTGCAGACATCCCATACATCCTAAAGCTGGAGTCTCACCCCCACACCACCTGTTGGCCCGGCCAGTCCCTATATTTCATGGCTCCCAGCTTCCCAGACAAGCAGCGCTGGGTAGCTGTCCTGGAGTCAGTCGTAGCTGGCAGCAGGGGCTCCAAGGACAAGGTGGAGGCTGACACGGTGAGTGTGTGTGTACGTGTGTGCGTGTGTGTGTGTGTATCTAGAGAGCAGTCTTCAATCTCTAGTCAGTTGATATTTGAAATATTGTTGTAACTTTCAAGGTCTGCATCTGAGTTATCCTACTAGTGCATTAAAGTTTATAGATGAACCACACTCAAACATGAGAGAGCAAGACTTGCTTGGTTTTTGCTGGAGAGTAGGGTCAGGTGTATTCCCACTCAATAGTCTTTTCTCTCCCCTTCCCTCTCTCTTTGTCTGCATGTTGTCCCTCTACTGTCTGTGTTTGTTGTCAATGATTTGATGTATGAATACATATTTTACCCATATATTTTACACTGAATGTGTAAATACACTGGGGTGTTGTTGACCACACTGTAGACAGCTGTTCCTAAAAGACAGAAGAACCTCTCCCCATTGGTCCAGGTAAAGATCTGCATGAGCCTGCCTTATGCTTGGGCCGACAGAGCATGCAGTACACACACTTACTGTACAGACATACCCAAGCACACAAACTACACATCTCAATCACACATACAGTAAATGCAAACATACACTCTCACGCCCTGAAAGGCAGCCACATACCCACCCACACATGCAGCACTCATGCAGCGCCTGTATGTGAGATGGCACTGCTGTGCAGCTTCGTCCCCTGGCTTCATGCATGCACTTCCATGTTAATGGTCATGTACTCTACGCCCCACCAATGCAGCCCAAAGATTGATTGATTGATCAATTGGTTTGGTCTATTGTTTAGGGATTGATAGTTTCACCATCCATTGCTATGTCTTTATAGTTGTTTCAAGTGTCTGTTGTTCATTTTGATTTTATGATATTTTTTTCCCCAAGTGTCCATACCTAGCAGCTCACAGTCATGTCTGTGTCGTCACCTGCTCTGTCCTGCTACCCTCTTGCCTCTTGTCACAGCCATTGTGCATATAACCTGCTGACTTGTGTTGCTTTCCCTCTCCTATATGATGACAGAAACTTCTAGGGAATTCTCTGCTGAAGCTGGAGGGAGACGACCGGCTGGACATTAACTGCACCCTGCCCCTCACTGACCAGGTAGGTCCTGCAACTAAACCATATGTGGAAGTAGGTCAACAATTGGTATCAATTGTTACATACAGTAAATGATATGGCCTTGAGATATACCTTTATCATGGATGGAATAATACTTGGCTATCTAAATAGATCATTCACAAGAATGTGAAAGAAACATGGCTTTATTTGCTCAATTCTCAACAGCAAAATATGTATGCGGATGGGTCATGTTGCTATTTTCCCATTCTAACTGTGTGGGCTTCTCTCTCCCTCTCCATAGATAGTGTTGGTTGGCTCTGAGGAGGGCCTGTATGCCCTGAACGTCATTAAGAACAGCCTGACTCACATCCCCGGGCTGGCCTCCGTCTTCCAGATCCGGATCCTCAAGGAGCACGACAAGCTGCTCATAATTACTGGTCAGTGTTGGGCACAAACTGTGTCCAGGTAAGGTTGCTGTAGCACGTGAGCGTAGTTCACCGAACAGTATAGTAGTACCAAGATTATGAAGAATCTTAATACAGTGTAGTATCTGTTTATTATCCCAACTGTGTTATTGTGTGTGGGATGGAGTATGCAGTTGGTACTGTAGGTGTTTGTGCTTACTGTAAAAGCACTTTGTGACAACTGCTGATGTAAAAAGGGCTTTATTAATGAGTGATTATGTCTATACCATGTCTGGTCCAGGAGAGGAGCGGGCCCTGTGTCTGGTGGAGATCAAGAAGGTGAAGCAGTCTCTGTCTCAGTCCCACCTCCCTGCCCAGCCAGATCTCAGCCCATACATCTTTGAGACGGTCAAGGGATGCCACCTCTTCTCCTCTGGCAAGGTGTGAGCCACCAATTTGCGTTTCTCTTCGTGGATTTTTTTCATCTTATTGAAATAGAATGAAACAATTTTTTCTGGTATAAAAATTTGTCTCAGTCATAGGCATAGCGCATAGCAAATTATTCACATACCTTTTGATGATGCATCAAGTTGTCTGTTACATTCCTTGAAACTGTAGACACAACTGATTACGCTATATCTCTGGAGTGATTGTTGTCCGACTGTTTTTTGTTTTTGTCCCTTGTGCAGATTGAGAATGGCACGTGTATATGTGCCGCTATGCCCAACAAGATCACCATCCTGCGCTACAACGACAGCCTCAAGAAGTTCTGCATCAAGAAGGAGATTGAGACGTTAGAGCCCTGCAGTTGTATCCACTTCACAGGCTACAGCATCATCATCGGCACCAACAGGTTCTACGAGATCGAGATGAAGCAGTACATACTGGAAGGTAGATCAACGACTCCTCACACAGGATGCAAGTTAATGGTAGACGCTGTTATCGCGGGTTAAACGGACTGAAACAGGGAGGGACTACCTGGACTTGTCCAAAAATAAACTGTTATTTTTCTATAGTTGGTTGATTGATTGGTGTGGGGACCTCTCTCTTGCAGAGTTCCTGGATAAGAACGATGTGACGTTAGCCTCGGCCGTCTTTGCGGCCTCCTCCCACAGTTTCCCCATCTCCATCATCCAGGTCACCCAGGCACCGCAGAAAGACGAGTACCTGCTCTGCTTCCACGGTCAGACACATGTTTCATACACACTTCTATAGGCTGTGTGTGTGGTTGTGTGTGTGGTTGTGTGCGTGTGTGTGTGAGAGAGGGAGAGTGTCTGCTGTCATTATGATTAGTGAAAGTGCTACTATCAATTTCCACACAGTTTACCTGCAAGAATTATTGCTAATTTCTGCTTGTGGTGATTCCCTGTCCAGAGTTTGGGGTGTTTGTGGACGAGTACGGCCGCAGGAGTCGAAGTGAGGACATCAAATGGAGCCGTCTGCCGCTCTCATTTGGTAAGTCAAAATAATGTTTTACCGCTATAAGGATAATCTCCGAAGGATTGGAGCATTGCAATCTAGAAAAGTGTTATAAGACATTATAAGTGCTCATACATGCTTATAACACAGAGTGCTCCTCTCCATTTCAGCCTACAGAGAACCCTACCTGTTTGTGACCTATTTCAACTCGTTGGATGTGATTGAGGTCCAGGGCCACTCTGCTCTAGGGTAAGACCACCTCAATGATCCTTTAGTTTACTGAAACCCTGAATGAGTTAGCATAACATTGTAAGATGTCAATAGGGGTATTGTGTCTTGTTCAGGGCCCACTCGTACGCTCACCTAGACATCCCCAACCCGCGCTACCTGGGCCCAGCCATCTCCTCTGGGGCCATTTACCTGGCTTCGTCCTACCAGAACAAGCTACGGGTCATCTGCTGTAAGGGGAACCTGGGACAGGAGGGGGAGCTGCAGAGGAATGGCTCTGGACACAGGTTATCTGGATCTTTCTTTTTCTATTTATTTATTTCTCTCTCTTTCACTCACTCACCCTACACTCACTCATTTCTCACTAGTGCTAAGTGATTAGCCGAAATGTGGGTTTTTCTTTTCGTTTTTAAACAACTAATTGATGGACCTTGGCTCAATTATTTGAATTCCATCTCTTTCGGGTTTTTTCTGTGAGCTCAATGCGCACATAGCTTAGTTTCTCTAGAGATAAATCAGATCAAGCCCAAACTGTGCGATGTAGTAAGGAGTTGTAGTTTCCAACAGGACAAAATTCTACATATTTCAGCGCAGTAAACATGGTAATTAACTACAATGGCCGAAATCCATTGCGTGCCGGTATGTTTCTTTTACGCCTGCTACATAAGGTTAGTGTCGGGCAGACAAGAGAGAAGAATGCTGATCGAGAGGGATAGAAAGCAGTTGCTTGATGAGGTACAGTATCTGTACCTGAAAATTCATGATTGATAGTTTGTATTCAGCGGTCATAAAAGTATGCCTTATTTACTTTGAAGAACTACTAAAATAGTGATTTTGTCAGACAGCATAGGCAGCAGCTCTATAGAGATGAGATGATGACTTGGAATTAAATAATAAAGTCATCAAATAAAGCAAATGTAATATACACAACAACTGAAATATTTTATTAAAGTAATGTGACTTAATGATGGTAAGTGATAAGCAGTAATGGGCAGTCACTACCATCATGGGACTTTTATGAATTGTTTTATTCTGTGTTACAGCATTCAACCCACATAATGCATAGTTGTCACGATCGTTTATAGACTGGTGAGACCAGGGCGCAGCGTGATAAGCATACATGTTTATTTAAACGAACGAACACACGACAAAACAACAGTCCAAGGTAACACACAAAGATACCATAACTGGAACAAGATCCCACAACTAACTAGAGCCAATAGGCTACCTAAGTATGGTCCCCAATCAGAGACAACGAGCTACAGCTGCCTCTGATTGGGAACCACACCGGCCAACATAGATCTACACATACCAGATCTAAACATAGAAAATCAACATAGCAAAACACAACACAGAAAATACACACCCTCACTCAACAAATACGAGTCCCTTGAGTCAGGGCGTGACAATAGTGCATTTAATGTCAAAAATATATATCAAAATAGAAAACCGTGATTATTTTTTCATAATCAAACTGAAACCAAACCGACCACAAAAAGCACTAATCGCTCAGCACTAATTCTCACTCACTCTCTATCAATCACTCACTCACTCACTCACTCACTCCCTCTCTCTCTCACACACACATACACACACACACAGAAACACATACACACCACTTGGGTATGCATGCATAGAGTTACTGTCCATCATTGGTTGTTTGGTGGTGGTACAATGGAACAATGGGAATTCTGGGAATTGGAGGAACAATGGGATTCTTCGTCACTGCACCTTCTGTTGGCTGGGCTAGTTAGTGGTTACACTGGTTAGTGGAGGCAGAATTGGGCCAGTCGTGGTTACAATAGGAATTCATTATGACTTCTCCTCGCTCTAGGATTCATTTAGCTATTGTTTAATTTCCACCAGTAATCACTGAAGTGCACGATGGTGGTGTGGACTGGAGCCTCTCATGGGTGGCACTGGTTGGCATTCAGGTGGCATAATATGGAGCGATTTCAGTGCCAACAGAAATTGAATTTGAATTCCCATCATCTGAATTTGAATTAGGATATTGAATTTGAATTTAATGTTTTCTAATTTGTAATGCACAAATTGAATTATTGAATTCATAAATTGAACTTGTATTTCATGAGTTAAAACTGAATTGAGGGGAACAGAAGACACGTCCATGTTCCAGAGAGTCTTAGCTTTCAGGAATGGGGTCATAATAGCTTATAGCCAAAACGGTTCAAACACTAAAGCCAAATTCAAAGGAAGAAAATAAATTCAACATGTCACATTGGCTTCAGAAACCGGCAGAAGCTTCGGTTTACCACAGAGAGTATTTGATTCTATCTGTTCTCCTTTACCTCTCCTGGCTGGAAAAGTACCAGGATGTTGTCTCTGGTTTTGAATCTGAATTTAGAGAACATAATTTGAAAACTGAATCTGAATGCGTCTGAGAAGTTGAATATATGAAACTTTGGTAAACTTTAAATTATAGTTGGTAAACTTGATACACTTGAACCTTGAACCTTCTTGCCACAGCTCACATTGATGTGCCATCCTGGATGAGCTGCACTACCTGAGCCACTTGTGTGGGTTGTAGACTCCGTCTCATGCTACCACTAGAGTGAAAGCACCGCCAGCATTCAAAAGTGACCAAAACATCAGCCAGGAAGCATAGGAACTGAGAAGTGGTCTGTGGTCACCACCTGCAGAACCACTTCTTTATTGGGGGTGTCTTGCTAATTGCCTATCATTTCCACCTGTTGTCTATTCCATTTGCACAACAGCATGTGACATTTATTGTCAATCAGTGTTGCTTTCTAAGTGGACAGTTTGATTTCACAGAAGTGTGATTGACTTGGAGTTACATTGTGTTGTTTAAGTGTTCCCTATATTTTTTTGAGCAGTGTATAAATATTGAATTTTAATATTCAGTTAAATTGAAATTGATTTTTAAAACTGAATGCAATATTCATTCAATTCAGTTTCAAATCATGAAATACAGGTTCAGTTTATGAATTCAGTTATTTAATTTGTGCATTACAAATGCAAAAATATTAAATTCAATATCCTAATACAAAAAGGCAAAATTATGGAATTCAAATACAATTTCTGTTGGCACTGAATCGCTCCATAGCATTAATTGGCATACACGTGGCATAGTCTGGCATACTCGTGGCACCTGTCTGCATACGGGTGACATAGGTTGGCATACATAACTTGTGAGCTTTCTGGTAATGGTATTCTTCCATCTGATACACCATGCATATCTGAGACCTGGATTAATGAGACCTGGATTAATGAGACCTGGATTAATGAGACCTGGATTAATGCTGGTGTTTATTCTTTGCAGGAGGAAGTGTGCCTTTTTAATTTGTAACAAAGCCTAAGTAAGGCCATGTTTATTTAAAAGGTCAAATAAATTATGGTAAATAAAGTATGGTTACTACTTGTATTTTCTGAGACTCCCTGTATCTACCAATCAAACAGCTGCATTAATGTGACTGTTCGTTTAGAGTCGCTTTTTTAACCACCCTCCCATACAGTGCTTTTCTAACCACCCTCCCATACAGTGCTTTTCTAACCACCCTCCCATACAGTGCTTTTGACCTTGTGGGTTTCATGATGTTTAAAGAAGCGAATAGATGGTTGAAGAGTGGCATAGGGTTTAATTTTTTTCATCTTCACCAAAAATATGTTTTACTATAAATAAATAAATAAATAAATAAGAGTACAAAGACAGAATTTGAGAAGTCCATCCAAAATGTAATTTGTCAACCCTCATTCAGCCGTTATCCATACATCGTACTCTTTCTGTGCAATTTATGTCTGGAAAATTGATGTTTGTTAAAGTGCTAGGAAAAAGACCAGCTGGAGTTGTCATATCATTGATTCCATAATCCTCAGTGTAATATAAAATGGGACATTTTACTTCTGGAGCTAACATGGTGACGATATGACGAAATGTCTTTGGCTCTCCAATCCATCAATGGATACAAATGTGCAGTGACAGAATCAACCATATCTCCTTTTTGTCCTTTACACTTGCTAATTTTTTGTCTCCTACTGCGACAGTGGCTAACCCATTATCTTCAGGGATTTCAATGAGAATTGCTTTCTCGACATCCAAAGCCATTGCTTGCTACTGTACTGTCTTGATTTAATTTTACATAGCTATTGAGAGTATTACACTAGCCATAGTTATGATTGACATTAGCTTAATATAAATATATATTTAATGGACCACTTTGTACCAAGATCACTTCTTCAAGCTGAATGCATAAGTTGCTGTTTCAGTAACTTCATCCTGATACTCCCCCTCACATCACGCCAGCAGTACACTATGTAATGCTGTTTATCCTGTGATCTTTGTCCTGTGGCGCCGTGCCCTGCCCTTTCCATCTCCACAATGGGTCTCTCCAACACTTCCTCTTCATCCACAGCCCCAACAAGCGTGGGCCGCCCTCCTACAACGAGCACATCACCAAGCGCCTGGCGGCCAGCCCCGCGTTGCACGGTGACCCGGGCACGCCACACCGCTACCGCGAGGCCCGCACCGAGTTCCGCCGCGACAAGTCGCCCGGCCGCCGGCCACACTCGGTGGAGAGGGAAAAGTCTCCCAGTGGCAGGATGATGATGGACCCCCGTCTGGCCAGGTCTCCAGGGAGAGCCTTGGGGGGGGACCCACGCCTCGGTCGCTCCCCAGGGAGGTTGATGGACCGGGACGTGAGGAGGGAGAGGTCGCCGGGACAGGGGTTCGAGGAGCAGCAGCATGGAGTTCGCCAGAGACTCCACACCAGCTCCGGTCGCACACCCCTCACCACGGTCAACAAGGTTAGAGAGTAGACTATGTATGCCTCCCAAATAGCCCCAACACCCTATTCACTGATTCATACTTTCCCTTGCCTGAATTACAGGACATAACATGAGTGGTATTGGGTGACTTGTGAACCGTATTCCCTATTTAGTGCACTACTTTTGACCAGAGCCCTATGGCCCCATGCTCTGTCTTTTTCAATGTGGCATAGTTTTCTTTGGATATGCTGAATTACTTGAAAATGTATTTTTCTATAATACTTTCCTATTCCAGTGATCAATCTGCTCTGTTGATGTAGCCTTAATGATACCAGGTAATGTAAGTTCCTCTGCCTAACTTCTGTGTTAGTGCCCTATCGCCTGACCCTATCTGTCTCTGATCTTTCTGTACAGGTGTGGGATCAATCATCTGTTTGAGTGACAGCAATGTCACACCAGTCAGAAGAGTGACATCCCCAGCACAGCACAGGACTTAGTTCTTCCCCGGGTTAGGGAATTGGAGGTGGATCAGAATACTGCATCACCCAGAGAGCCCAATAGGAAAAGCAGCTAAAGCGTTGAAGACCCACTGTCAATGCTGAATGTCATAACTATGGGATTTTACTAGAATAAATCATGGTTAATGCAATGTTGATATACAGTAACAAATCATTTTTTATATCCAACATGTGAAGTCTGCAAGGACCAAAACAACTTAAACAACATTTGTCACAAACACTGAGATAAACACTTGGAATATCTGCTAAATTAAATCCAGGAAATGTACAGATGAGTCTCAGAGTTTAGAAACACAACTAAACATTCTCCTGGATTTTCTCTCACCCCTGTGCATATCAGCTAGATCAGTGGTGGGCATCTCCGGTCCTAGAGGGACACACTGTGTGTGCAGGCTTTTGTTACAGCTCAGCACTAATACGCCTCATTCAAATCATCAACTAAACAAAGTCTTCAATTTAGATCAAGTGTAATTAGGTGTGTTTGTTAGAGTTTATCTGGAATAAAGTCTAAACACACACTGCAGTCTTCTAGGATAGGTCCATCCCTGAGCTAGATGACTACACTAAAACACACTAAAACTGCTCTACCCACAATCCCCAGCACCAGCTGACTCTTGGAACAGGACCTTTATAAATAATCATAATGCTATTTGACACTGTAAATAGGCAGACTTATGTTTAGTCCGAAATGCCACACTACTCCCTATACACTGCACTACTTTTGACCAGGACCCACAGCGATCTGGTCAAAAGTAGTACACTATATAGGGAGTAGGGTACCATTTCAGACAGAGCCTTGCTTTTTATAGATACTGAAAGGGAACCTCAAGGCTGGAAAAGCCACGTCTATTTTTGTTAAAGAGAAAAGTGATTGTTACATGTATGTCTTCTTGAATGTCAAATTAATATTATTGTTTTAAAACGTCCTCCCGAGTGGCGCAGTGGTCTAAGGCTGTGCCACTAGAGATCCTGGTTCAAATCCAGGCTCTGTCGTAGCCGGCCGCGACCGGGAGACCCATGGGGTGGCGCACAATTGGCCCAGCGTCATCCAGGGTAGGGGAGGGAATGGCCGGCAGGGATGTAGCTCAGTTAGTAGAGAATGGCGTTTGCAACGCCAGGGTTGTGGGTTCGATTTCCACAGGGGGCCAGTATAAAAAATAAAATAATGTATGCACTCACTAACTGTAAGTCGCTCTGGATAAGAGCGTCTGCTAAAATGACTAAAATGTTTTGCCTTGGACCCATCTTGTGTAATGCAAAAGCAAACATGCGGCTTGAGAAATCATTAAGCTACAACATACTACTTCAATATTCCTTTTTTACCACAATCTCCCTTACCCTCTTGTATATACCCCCCAAATTGTTGTTTATGATTGATTGATGAAGATTTGTTTTTACTTTGACTGATTTGTTAAAGGCATGGATGTACAAAAACGAAAATCGAAAAGAAATATCCTATGATCTTCAGCATCAACTTCATTTCAGTGAAATATGAAGGCGATTCGACACTGGAGCATGTGAGCGATAGAAAACATTTATATTTATACATGTTTTAGTTTGCATTCAATTTGAATTTTCCTTCAAATTCTCCTGAACTATTATGGGTGACATTTTCCTACTGCTAAAACCTCACGCAGCAAGAACATATGGTATTTTTAGTCACATAAGCCAACTCTTTATACTTTAATATACCAACTTACTTTTGATGTACTTATTATTTAAATTTGCCTAACATCAGTCCCCCCCCCCCCATCACAACCAAAATTCAGTGTAGCAGTGAAAGGTCACGTAGCAAATTCTTGTAGAACAGGTTAGCCTACATGTGCAATAATAAACATTTTGCTCACATCATCTATATGCATATTTTACTCAGCATCTGGGCGGGAGTGTACAGGTTTGTAAATTGACTTCATTTCATACGTGCCTATCAATTTACCATCTGCTACCTAAGTCCAGCCCTCCACTTTTTCACTTTTTGGAAACTTTGCGAGCGGCAAAATACCAATGTGAGATCTGTGCATTTTGCTGATGCCGTTTAGATGAGAAACATGTTCTCGATATGATGATGATGATGTTGATGTCTTACAAATGATTTACTAGCTTTCCCTGTAGATTTTTGTCACACAATATTAAACATAACCAATGTCTTTATTTCCTGTCATGTTTTTATGGAGTTCCGATCCCTTTACGTATTTTATTGTTTTTGATAGGACAGATGTAAGTACCTGCAGTGGGGAGACAGACATAGAGAGGGGTACAGAAAGAGGTTAAGGGCACAGACAGTCGGCCGAGGCAGGGCTCATACCTCTGTCACCGAGGGGGCATATGTGGTCTGGAGTCGGGAGGTTAGACTGCTACCCCAGACTCCGGCACGTATCCTGTTGTTTTGTGTGTGTCTGATGAATAAATCGTGTGTGTGTGGCCGATGTGGAATTGTGTGTGAGAGACACTGAGTGAGAGAGAAAGAAAGATTTTGTGTGCGTGTGACTTATCCATGTCCAGAGTGTTGGGATAACAATGCACATTGGGTATTTATAGTAGTCTGATGATTCCACTAGCCTGCTAATTCACTAACGGCCCAAGCCTCACTGAGACAATGCCATCCCATTCTAGAGCCACTGGCATGCAGAGCTGCAGCAGCTATTTGTGTCTTTAAACTGCGAATAACTCTCAGCTGCCTGCCCAATAACAATTGTCAGAGGGGCTGGGTGAGTGAGTGGCAGACGAACTCTTCATACATGTTGCTTTAACGTTTAGATGCAGACAGCTGTAATAAAGATGCGACTTTTCGACCTCAAATAAATAAGTTACTAGAGACTCCTTCCCATGCTGTGAAGGGACAAATATGATAGCAGAAGTGACATATGCCATTGACTGACATATGCCAGAAGTGACATATGCCAAAGTGAGAAGGATGGCAATGACGAGGTGAAGAATGATTTTAGCATGTCAGACTCAGTACCTTTATATAGATCTGCCACCCACCCAGACTCTGTTTGGAGTTCATCCCCCTGCCCCTAACACCCTATTCACTGATTGGCACTTTAGCACTTTCCCTTGCCAGCATGACAGGAGTGGTATTGGGTAACTTGTGAACTCTGTAAATATAATTAGCACATTTTAAGGTGCTGTTCTCTGTGTCACCAGGGTCATACTTGAGTATGTGGGACCTAGCTAATATTCTACTGCTGAGTTTGGAACGTGGAACTCTGGGTGCAAATGATTTTGAACAGCTTCCTTTCCTGGTCTCCTTTCGGTTAAAGATGACAGCTTGAATAGATTGAGTGCCCTGTAAATGGGTGATATGTATGGAAGCATGTGAGAGAAGTGACTGGGCTTGATCCACCGTTAACCCAGCCTGCCAGACACACACTCCTCTGACAGCAGCAGGGCAATAAATAATGGCTTAATAAGCTATCATATGCCCACACTCCCTTTCATCTTTTAAATGATTGTTTCATTGGCCTTAGATGAACACAAATATCAACATGTAATGGCAGGGCATAGGCACACATCCAACAAATTCAGGAGGATAGAGGTAGCGGTAGTAGCCTACTAGAGGCAGATGGCATACTAGCTGCTAAAAACCTTTTTCACAGAGCCGAACCAAGCCGAGCTGGACTGCGCTGGCCTGGTTTCGCATCCACCATTTTTGCTGGAACTATACTGGAAAGGACAATGTGAAGAAGATCCAGTCCGGTACGGTTCAGGTCTGCACGATAGTGTGAAAAGGGTGTAGCCGGCTGGGTAATTGGGGCTATGCCTCCGTTAAAACCATGCCGACTTAACAGCTGGCTCTTAGTTCCTCTAGTTTTGTCTACCACCACAATATGGGGTGTGGGTTGAATGGGCATCACCTCTGCTTTGAGTTTGAGGCATCATCACTCACACTTGGGCAGTCAGCTGCACTTTTAAAGCAAAGTAAGAGAGCGAGGGGGATAGGCCATGCTCTCTAGGAGTAGGAAAGAGAGATTGAGTATTGGGTTCTGTTAACCTTTCAGAATGCAAGGTCCTGTTATTCTGAACCACTGTTATTCCACTCTGAGAGTTGAGAATGAACCTTGGGGAAGGGGGCACAAGGGATTATTCTCTCTGTGTGTGTGTGTATGTTTCGGGGTTGTCTTTTACCTGTCACTTCCTAAAGAAGGCATGGTTTATTTATATCGGCCAGTAGAATGGAGTACATGTAGGCTACATAAGACCAGACAAAGCACGCTCCATTGTTCAGTGGCACTTTGGGAGTCCCATTGTTCTGCGCATCACACCCATCCTCCCTCCTCCAGCTCCAGCCATGGTAAGTGCCTGCCCAGTGCTGTGCTGTTCCACTTTTTGATCTCTGTCACGCTCAACTATGTCAAAGGGGTGGGGGTAGAGGCAAGGGAATGTGATACTCCGCTGCATCCTTAGAGTAGACAAATGTATTATATAGAGAGATAGACAGTATATGCTTAGCTTGAAGAACAGCTCGATAGATTATTTGATTCGATAGAGATATTTGATGTCCGATGTCATGTTCTGCTGAGGATGAATAATGAATATGAAACTGGAAGAAATTAACGAACTACATTGCAAAGAACAACATTTGTCTGTCCATCTGGAGATTTCCATGAAGATATTTCAGTTTTGACATTATTCTAATCTTCTTTGTTTATAGTATGTTACATTCTAACAGTTGGAACATGATTAACACATACACTACCGGTCAAAAGTTTTAGAACACCTACTCATTCAAGGGTTTTTCTTTATTTTTACTATTTTCTACATTATAGAATAATAGTGAAGACATCAAAACTATGAAATAACACATATGGAATCATGTAGTAACCAAAAAAGTGTTAAACAAATCAAAATATATCTTATATTTGAGATTCTTCAAATAGCCACCCTTTGCACACTATTGGCATTCTCTCAACCAGCTTCATGAGGAGGTCACCTGGAATGCATTTCAATTAACAGGTGTGCCTTGGTAAAAGTTAATTTGTGGAATGTGACAAGGTAGGGGTGGTATACAGAAGATAGCCCTATTTGGTAAAAGACCAAGTCCATATTATGGCAAGAACAGCTCAAATAAGCAAAGAGAAATGACAGTCCATCGTTAATTTAAGACATGAAGGTCAGTCAATACGGAACTTTGAGTGCAGTCGCAAAGACCATCAAGTGCTATGATGAAACTGGCTCTCATGAGGACCACCACAGGAACGGAAGACCCAGAGTTACCTCTGCTGCAGAGAATAAGTTCATTAGAGTTACCAGCCTGAGAAATTGCAACCCAAATAAATGCTTCACAGAGTTCAAGTAACAGACACATCTCAACATCAACTGTTCAGAGGAGCCTTCATGGTCGAATTGCTGCAAAGAAACCACTACTAAAGGACACCAATAATAAGAAGAGACTTGCTTGGTCCAAGAAACACATGCAATGGACATTAGACCGGTGGAAATGTGTCCTTTTGTCTGGAGTCCAAATTGGAGATTTTTGGTTCCAACCGCTGTGTCTTTGTGAGACACGTTGTGGGTGAACGGATGATCTCCGCATGTGTATTTCCCACGTAAAGCTTGCAGTAGGAGGCGTTATGGTGTGGGGGTGCTTTGCTGGTGACACTGTCTGTGATTTATTTAGAATTCTAGGCACACTTAACCAGTATGGCTACCACAGCATTCTGCAGCGATACGCCATCCCATCTGGTTTGGGCTTAGTGGGACAATCATTTGTTTTTCAACAAGACAATGACCCAACACACCTCCAGGCTGTGTAAGGGCTATTTGACCAAGAAGGAGAGTGATGGAGTGCTGCATCAGATGACCTGCCCTCCACAATCACCGACCTTAACCAAATTGAGATGGTTTGGGATGAGTCGGACCGCAGAGTGAAGGAAAAGCAGCCAACAAGTGCTCAGCATATGTGGGAACTGGTTGAGAGAATGCCAAGAGTGTGCAAAGCTGTCATCAAGGCAAAGGGTGGCTATTTGAAAAATCTCAAATACAAAATCTCATTGTATTATTCTACAATGTAAAAAATAGTACAAATAAAGAAAAACCTTTGAATGAGTAGGTGTGTCCAAACTTTTGACTGGTAGAGTACATACTGTATGTTTAGTATTCCATCCTGTATGTTTACTTCATACAATGCTAAAATGTAATGTATTTTAAGTTGGGCAGGATAACTCCTTAATTCATAGCATTTAGTTGAGTTAGTTCAGGGGTGGTCCTGGCAAAAACTGTTATATCCCAATAGTTGTATTGTGTCCATAGTAACACTGGCGCCAGAGACATATATTTAGACAGTTAGGTCAACTTTTGGAATATTGTTCTAATTCTAGACATTCAGTTCCACAGCTTTGTTTAAATATTATCCATTGTAATGTTAATAGGGAGCTAACATGGCTGCCATAGAATGTTGTAGTGTCAAAATGTAAATGCTTCCTAATGCAGAAACCACATTGGCCTAACTCTCTTAATATATGGCTCTGAGTGGCGCTAGCATAAATCAGCTCAGGGTAGACCAACCCACCAGGCTTCATGGATCTACTCCTTTTCCACCTCCCGCCAAAGGCACCCAAGAAGGCAAAGAAGAAGTCAGCGGAGGGAGCCAACTCTAATGTATTTTCTATCTTTGAGCAGTCTCAGATCCAGGAGTTCAAGGAGGTAAGGATCTGCCTCTCCCCTTATTACCATGATGACAGTCCATCAGTCCCCCTGCACCCCTTTCTGTCTGGGTCCTAGTGCATAACCCATTCTACCTCTACTGTACTGCTTGATTTACACTATAGGGCCAACCCGACCTGTACTCTGCTAGCGCAGACATTTTATTTTAATATTGTCCTTTCCAGCACAGTTCCAGCAACTATGGTGGATTTGTAACCAGGCCAGCACAGCTTGGCCCTATAGTAGTGTGAATCCAGCATCTCTGTAAGCCTGTAGGTTTACATGTCCCTCTGTCCATTGTCCACCTGTCTCTCTGCCCCAGCCATGAACCAGGCGTGTGGTATGAGCGGTGTCGCTCTTTCAATCACAGCCAGGCATTCAGGCCCTGTCATCAGTGATTAGCCAGGGCTGGGGATAGAATGGGAAGCATGCCCTGGCCTGGATGTCACTCTTAAACCCTGGGGAGTAACATCATATAAATACAGCAACTACGAATAAAGGCTTAGGAAAAATGTTCAGGGATCCATGTTCCAGAGAGCATCGATGGGATTGTTTTGACAAAGATTTATATACGAATCCCTCCTCTCTTTCTCATATTTGATATTTATTTAGATAGTTGGAAAGACAAAGGGAGAAAAGTAAGGGAGGAGAACCCCGTATTCTGGAATGGGGATAACGTGTGGGCTGAAGATGCCGGTGTTACCACTTTACTGAACTCTGGCACATAGACTGATTTGATATGCAGAGTGGCGCCATCTGTAGCCCATGGGATTTACTGTCACTCTCCTCCCAACACATACACACACAGACAAACTCTAGTTACTGGTATGAGTCTTCTCACAAGTCTCCCATTAAATGTTAACCCACCATGTTGACAGGCCTTCACCATCATGGACCAAAACCGAGATGGATTCATTGACAAAAACGACTTGAGGGACACCTTTGCTGCACTGGGTGGGTTGAAGATCTATTCTATTATTTATCTATTTGATCAGGTAGGTCAGTGAGAACTTATTCTCATTTACAATAACGACCTGGCCTAATGAAAGCAATGGTACTGACCCATGTCCATGTAACAGGCCGTCTCAACGTGAAGCAGGAGGAGATAGATGAGATGCTGAAAGAAGCGTCGGGCCCAGTCAACTTCACCGTCTTCCTCACCATGTTTGGAGAGAAGCTAAAAGGTGAGGTGTGCAAACAAGGGATGCGTTCAGTTGGTTAAACGTCCTGCTACATTTTGCAACAGTACTGAATGTCACTTTCTCCCAAAGGTTTACCAGATGATGTGCCTGAATCGTAATTTGACATTGTCCCTCCTTATTTCCGTATTGTAACTCCTGTCTATGTAATCCAAATGTCTGCCTACCCATCAATTTCATTCTAATTAGAGGTGTTCTCTGTGTAGGTGCTGATCCAGAGGAGACTATCCTCAACGCATTTAAAGTATTTGACCCTGAAGGAAAAGGAGTCCTGAGGAAGGACTTGTGAGTACCCAGTGTGTGTGTCCCTGTGTGTGTGTAAACGGGTCTATAGATTATAGGTTAATGTCCTAAACACCTTGTTCTTGCTCCTCTTCAGTGTGACCGAGATGCTGACGACACAGGCGGACAGATTCTCTCCTGAAGAGGTTAGAGCCCAACCAACATACCCTAAACACACTATAAGCTATAATCTGTATACTGTATACAAACACACACACACACACACAAACACACACACACAAGCCCTGGACCCCTTGTACATACAACTATCTATCAACAGCAGACAAACTATTTTCATTAAACTCATAGCCACTCAATCAGTAACAACACAGTTCATATATAAATATGTTGCGTGTTGCTTAGAATCTGTTGTGATGTGTATGATGTGTCACTGATTGAGTCACTAAATCATCTTGATGGTTTTCTTAGATGGAGCAAATGTTTGGAGCCTTCCCACCAGATGTGGCAGGAAATGTAGACTACAAAAACCTTGTGCACATCATCACACACGGAGAAGAGAAGGACCAAGAGTAACTAACTCACTGCTCCTTTAGCGTGTCTGTCAAAGTGATAGAAATAGAAGCTCTCGACCCGAGAGACTCTAGAGCTTCTATTTCAATCCTCAAAACAGCTGTCGGCTGTCATCTATCATCTCCAGGCTCCACCCACGGTCCTGTGTGCTTTCCCCGCCCACTTACATCCTCAGATCAGGTGATGTGGACCACCCCGGAATAATTCACTGGCTCCTTTGTCTGTCAGTCACACTTCCCCACCCAGGTCGCCTATACCAAGAGACCATAGCTAGAGCCCCCACCACCTGCAGCCCCACCGTGGAAGAGGAGGGAAAGGACCAGAGGGAAACTCACTGGCCTCTACCTTCTACAAAAGGCTCAAGACACTTTTAAACTGGCCACCTTCTAAACTGGCCACCTGTGATGCATCTGCTTGTGTTTTCCCCTCATCGACAGTGGTTAAGCAAACTGTCAAGCCAAATGTGTGTAAATGGTCTGCTCAGACAAATGGTTGAATCCATATTCAATAGCTATTATACAATCTGATCACTTTTCAATAAATAATTGTAACTCGTGTCTTTTGTCAAGAGATCCTCAGTTTGTTACTTCTTGCACCTCTGATAATAAATGTTTATTTTGAAGCATCCCCTTAGAGAGCATAATATACAGTACCAGTCAAAAGTTTAGACACACCTACTCCTTCAAGGGTTTTTCTTTATTTTTACTATTTTCTACATTGTAGAATAATAGTGAAGACATCAAAACTATGAAATGACACATGGAATCATGTAGTAAACAAAAAAGTTTTAAACAAATCAAAATATATTTTAGATTTTAGATTCTTCAAAGTAGCCACCCTTTGCCTTGATGACAGCTTTGCACACTCTTGACATTCTCTCAACCAGCTTCATGAAGAATGCTTTTTCAACAGTCTTGAAGGAGTTCCTACATATGCTGAGCACTTGTTGGCTGTTTTTCCTTCACTCTGCGGTCCAACTCATCCCAAACCATCTCAATTGGGTTGAGGTCGGGTGATTGTGGAGGCCAGGTCATCTGATGCAGCACTCCATCACTCTCCTTCTTGGTCAAATAGCCCTTACACAGCCTGGAGGTGTGTTTTGGGTCATTGTCCTGTTGAAAAACAAATGATAGTCCCACTAAGCGCCTTACCAGATGGGATGGCGTATCGCTGCAGAATGCTGTGGTAGCCATGCTGGTTAAGTGTGCCTTGAATTCTAAATAAATCACTGACAGTGTCACCAGCAAAGCATCCCCACACCATCACACCATCTCCTCCATGCTTCATGGTGGGAACCACACATGCGGAGATCATCCGTTCACCTACTCTGCGTCTCACAAAGACACGGCGGTTGGAACCAAAAATCTAAAAATTGGACTCATCAGACCAAAGGACAGATTTCCACCGCTCTAATGTCCATTGCATGTGTTTCTTGGCCGAAGCAAGTCTCTTCTTCTTATTGGTGTCCTTTAGTAGTGGTTTCTTTGCAGCAAATCGACCATGAAGGCCTGATTCAAGCAGTCTCCTCTGAACAGTTGATGTTGAGATGTGTCTGTTACTTGAACTCTGTGAAGCATTTATTTGGGCTGCAATCTGAGGTGCAGTTAACTCTAATGAACTTATCCTCTGCAGCAGAGGTAACTCTGGGTCTTCCTTTCCTGTGGCGGTCCTCATGAGAGCCAGTTTCATTATAGCGCTTGATGGTTTTTGCGACTGCACTTGAAGAAACTTTCAAAGTTCTTGACATTTTCCGGATTGACTGACCTTCATGTCTTAAAGTAATGATGTACTGTTGTTTCTCTTTGCTTATTTGAGCTGTTCTTGCCATAATATGGACTTGGTATTTTACCAAATAGGGCCATCTTCTGTATACCACCCCTACCTTGTCACAACACAACTGATTGGCTCAAATGCATTAAGAAGGAAAGAAATTCCACAAATTAACTTTTAACAAGGCACACCTGTTAATTGAAATGAATTCCAGGTGACTACCTCATGAAGCTGGTTGAGAGAATGCCAAGAGTGTGCAAAGCTGTCATCAAGGCAAAGGGTGGCTATTTGAAGAATCTCAAATATAAAATATATTTTGATTTGTTTAACACTTTTTTGGTTACTACATGATTCCATATGTGTTATTTCATAGTTTTGATGTCTTCACTATTATTCTACAATGTAGAAAATAGTAAAAATAAAGAAAAACCCTTGAATGAGTAGGTGTGTCCAAACGTTTGACTGGTACTGTATATTCAATGTCCTTTGTTTACTTGATTGACTGATGACATACAGTGGTGTAAAGTACTTAAGTAAAAATACCTTAAACTACTACTTAAGTAGATTTTTGGGGTATCTGCACTTTGCTTTACAATTTATATTTTTGGCAACTTTTACTTTTACTTCACTACATTCCTAAAGAAAATAATGTACTTTTTACTCCATACATTTTCCCTGACACCCAAAAGTACTCGTTACATTTTGACAGGAAAATGGTCCAATTCACACACTTATCAAGAGAACATCCCTGGTCATCCTACTGCCTCTGATCTGGCCGACTCACTAAATATAAATGCTTAGTTTGTAAATGATGTCTGAGTGTTGGAGTGTGCCCCTGGCTATTGTTATTTTTATTTATTTTTAAGACCATTGTGCCGTCTGGTTTGCTTAATATAAGGAAGTTGAAATGATTTATACTTATACTTTTGATAGTAAAGTACATTTTAGCAATTCCATTTACTTTTGATATTTAAGTATATTTAAAACCAAATACTTTTAGACTTTTACTCAAGTAGTATTTTACTGGGTGACTTTCACTTTTACTTGAGTCATTTTCTATTAAGGTATCTTTACTTTTACTCAAGTATGACAATTGAGTACTTTTTCCACCTCTGATGACATATTGGAATGAATGTGATCTGCTAAAAGTGACATTCTGTATCAACTCAACAAACCAAGTCTATGTATCAATGGATGTATGCTTCCCTTAATTATTCAATTATTTTGCCCAAGTTGATCACATAACTGCTGCAGCCAAACTGTGTTGTAAATAAGTAATACACAAAATCCATACCTTTAATCTGTATGGTTTCATCACAAGCAAGAGAGTTTACATCAGGGGTTAATGACATTAGTATGGGTTGAAAATAGTATTAGGAGAATGCTGCTTGCTCACAAACAGCCCACGAGCAGAGTTTGTGAGGTTCAATTGATCTGTTCAGTGAGGGAGAGCTTTTCAACTGGTTTATAAACTGATTCAGGGTTTTAGTTTGGTTTTGGCAGCAGTCCTGCCCAGCAGCTGAAAGCATCATGGATCCCCTAAGACTAAGTTCTGCATTTAGAGAGGAGCAATGTGAGCCAGTGAGGTAGCAGAGATGGCCGTCTTCTGGCATCACACTGGTCTTCAAGGTACAGAGGGGCCTAACACTCTCCATCCAAACATGGGGTTTGGTTTGGAAAGACAAAGCCCCAGTGTTTATTTTAGTGCATGTGATGAGGTTACGGGGTAACGTTACACTGCATGATGCATCCCAAAGGCAGGGCAGACACTAAGCTGTCAGCCAGTGATCCCCGTAAAACCTGTTGTTACTCCACTGAGCTGGTGCCTGGCCATGCTGGGAGACCTTGACGCAGAGGTGCAAAGCCCTGAGCCACCCACCGTTTGTTATTTCATTGCCCAAAATGAAGCATCTTTCCTGGGGTGGGGGACTAGAGATAAGGGCCTAGATGAGCTGTGGTATTTCCTCCGACAATGGGAACAAACCTGTTCAAAAGCAGTGGTGTGTGTGTGTGTGTGTGTGTGTGGGGGGGGGGGGCAACCAGGGTCAAAGGACACATAGAACAATGAACAGATTACTGAGACCAGGGACTAAAGCTAAATGCTGTAATGGTTTAATTGAGATTAAAACAACGCAGTATGTGAGCACCATGTCATGTGAGAGTCAGAGGCTCCTGCTCAGGCAGACTTGGGGTTGAAGCCCACCTTCTTCTTTCCTCTCAAGGGGGTGGACGGGGCCTTGGGCACCTTACCCTGCTCAGTATGCATCACCCAGGGCAGCACCCGCTCACGTAGGGTCTGGAAGTCCAGAGGCTGCTCGCTGCCTGTAAGACACACCACACAAACACACAAAGTTAAGGGAGCACAACACCGACACACTCCACTTGAAGTATTAAAAGTAACTTGCGATTAGTGTTGACTTTAAGGACATTGTATTATTTCTTTGTACTCCCTGACGAAGGCCATGCAGCCGAAACGCGTCAGATTTTTTAAAAATCTTGTTTCTATTGAACATGCCATACTAATAAAGGCATTTTAATTAATTATATGAAGAGTGCCTTGGTCCTCCTTTCTTTTTGATGACCAATTCACCCCCTTGACCAAAGAGCACCTTCTGTCTACCAACATTTACTATTGTGTACCTTAGTAGCGCTTCCCTTCCTCCTCTTTACACTATAGTGTATTGTTTATTTATTTAACTAGGCAAGTCAATTAAGAACAAATTCTTATTTACAATGACGGCCCTTCCAAAAGGCAAAAGGCCTCCTGCGGGTACGGGGGCTGGGATTAAAATTAAAAATGTAGGACAAAACACAACACTACATAAAGAGAGACCTAAGACAACAACACAGAATGGCAGCAGCACATGACAACACAGCATGGTAGCAACACAACATGACAACAACACGGTAGCAACATAACATAGCAGCAGCACAACATGGTACAATATAGGGAAAAGGGTGCCATTTGGGTTGGAAGGCTCTACTGTACCAGTACTGACCCAGGCCCAACAGTGTTTCGGTGGTGCTGTCGTCGAAGGAGGGGGCCTCTGTGGCAGAGGGGGTCACGGCGGGCAGCAGGCTGTAGCTGACCAGCAGGGGGTTCTGAGGGGGCAGCTCCATCTCCTCAGCCTCCTTGTAGCTGCACTGGGACAGGATAATCAACAGCCGGTGAATCTCCTCCTCCAGGATACCTGTGGTGGTGCAGACAGGACGGGATGAGTGAGTGTCTATTGGTGAGTATGTGTCCCTCATTCTAGAAGTCTGAGTTCCATTTGTTCCATTTTTGCTTTGCCTGTGTGAGATACTGTGTGAGTGTTACATATACTGTACTGCCAATTTGGTTACACTTTATTTGATGGTACAGACATTACCAGGTATTTATTTAGAAATGGCATGGTAAAATGGTAATAACTTGAATATCTTGTTTGTGAGTTTTTCTTTGGGATTCATTAAAATCTTTGTTCTTATGAGTGCTTTAGCATTGCCAACAGCCTGAGAGAGAGGGGTTGTCCAACAATGTCCACCTACCAATAAACTGGGTGACGTTGTCATCAGTGACCTGAGCGCTGCAGCCCAGCTTGCCAGTGATAGGAGCAGAGTTACACTTCATCTTGTCAAACAGGTGGGCGATGGCCGTCTTATGCTGGTCCAAGAACTTCAGAACCACAGTGTACTGGCTCTCCAAATTATTGGCCAGGCCACGACGCTGCTCCAGCTCTCTCTGAGAGGGACCAGAGACAAAAAGGCAAAGTCAAAAGATGAAGGGGAAAACAGATTGATATAGGGGAGAGAAACTGATTGGCATGGTCAGACAGAGAAATACACAAGGAAGCACCAGCAGACCCATTAGAGCAGGGAAAAGTTGTGCAAAGTCAAACTAAAACTTCCTAAAAACAAAAACCTTACCTCCAGTTCCTTGAGCTGGCCCTGCCACTGTTGATCATACTGCTTGTTCTCCAGCTCAAAGCGCAGGATCTCAGTCTGTGGGGGAGAGAGCAGCAGAACACGGTCATATAACCTTGTCTAGTTTTATTTACATTTACATTTACGTCATTTAGCAGACGCTCTTATCCAGAGCGTTACAGTTAGTGAATTTTTTTTGTGTGTTTTTTTAATAATTGTTTTTATACTGGCCCCCCGTGGGAAACGAACCCACAACCCTGGCGTTGCAAACGCCATGCTCTTTCAACAGAGCTACATCCCTGCCGGCCATTCCCTCCCCTACCCTGGACGACGCTGGGCCAATTGTGCGCCGCCCATGAGTCTCCCGGTCGCGGCCGGCTGCGACAGAGCCTGGATTCGAACCAGGATCTCTAGTGGCACAGTTAGCACTGCGATGCAGTTGTCTAGTTTTACAAGCTTACAACACATGAACTCCCATCCTGTGTTTGTGTGTGTACGTGCGTGTGCGTGCATGGCGTGTGTGCGAGCGAGCGTGTATGTGTGTGGACCCTGACCCTGAGCTTGTTGATGCGGTCCTTCAGCATGGTGCTATTGTTGTTCAGCTCGTTGATGTAGTTGAAGTAAGCAAAGCTCTTCTCCTCGTTCTCCACAAACGTCCTGCCGATCTGACGCAGGTCGCTGTCGCCGCTCACCTCCACGAGCAGCCGGTGCACAGCCTGGTACGTCTCCAGACTCTCTCCTCCCATTCGCTCACACTGAGCCTGCTCGGTCCCTGCACCAAGGACAAAACACTGCCATGAAGCATCGATCAATAAGGTTGATGTAGCTCGAGAAAGGCCTCTAGCCTCTAGGCTAAACAAGCAACCATTCAATTAACAACTGTAAGATGTATAATGTTAAGCATGATTCTAAAACGTACTTCTCTTTTTGGCATCTTCGTCCTCGCCCATGGGGACACTTTCCTTGGACTTTTTGACCATGAAACTGCGGAGTTTGAACTCGTGGTCGATGACCCTCTTCAGCTCAGTCATCTCAGTGTGGCAGAAAGATCTGTCCTTCTTTCTACGCTCCCTCACAGCTAGCATGCGGGCCAGGGCCTCGGACCTAGAACACACAAATACAGCCCACATTTTCTAAGCTGGGCAAGCGCAAGAACAGGCTTCTGCACACCACCAAACAGACACAGTGTTTGTAGCTCTGACCTCTGGTCGTAGGCGAGGACAGACTTCTCCACAAGGTCTTCCATGACGTTGTGCTGGGACTGTAGCTCTCTGCTCAGACGCTGGTACATAAGGGCGAAGGAGCACCTCTGGCGCCGCAGGTGGTCAATCTCATCACGCAATGCCTGGTTCTTGCACAGCAACTTGTCAAAGCTTTTAGTAGCCTGCAAAACCACAGGATAAGAACAATATAAAGATGATGCTCAAATCACCTCACACATTGCAAACTAGTTTGAACCAAATCAATTAGGAATTTAATACATTACACTGAACTGAACATAGTCTTAGCATGGCTTTGTACGCCTCGCTCTCTGCCAATCAGATTGCGTGTCCAGGAACAACCATTGTATAATGGAAATTACATTCTGGGTACATCTTACATATATAGAATCCTTTTATGTTGGTCATAACTGATTCATAGCAAACACACAACAAAAATCGAGAGTAAGTGAGGAATGGATGTAGGTTTGTGTGATTTTGTGAGTGTTGAATGTATGCCGCCACGGTTTTGTGATGTGTGATTGATTTGTGTGTGACTGTATAAATGTAAGATTGTTGAATGGATGTTGGATTATGTGATGATGACTGCCAAACAAACCAAACAGTCAACAGTGTGAGTGTAGATCTAGGGTTGTGTGGTGATGATAGCAGTACCTGGTTTACGCGGTCCTCCATGATGCGGATGTGCTTCCTCTGATGAAGAGGTCTCTTGAGGGTGCAGATCCTACCACCCATCTCCTTCTTTCTCTGCAACAGCTTGGTCTGCATCGCCTTCATCTGCATGGGGAAGAGGGGATCAATAAAGTTGAGTTGTGTTGAGTTTAACTCTATTAATTATATTAATTGTCCAGCCCAAGAATTAGGCCTACATGTACTTATGTTTTTAGTTTTTAAACGTCTTTGAGATTATCTGTATAATGAAAAGTACATAAATAACTAAATATATTATTATTATTCACAAGTCAATACTTTGCAATTTTAGCAACAGTCAGTTAGCCAGTCATTTAGCAACAGTCATTCTAATTGGCCATACCGTACCTTGGTGTCCAGACTGGCAAGGTGTTCCTTCTTTTTCCGGATGGCAACCAGGTAACTGTCGTTGTCCACAAGGAGTCGCTGGTGTTGCTCGTGAAGGTCGTCAGTCTTTTTCGGATTTCTTTCGGGCATTATTTATGGCCTGTGTGACATTATTGGAAAATGCATCAAATGGTTATGCAGTCAGATTCAAAGGACCGACTTCGTTCTTGATTTTACTTGGTCAATAATTACCCTTACAAAAACAGATTGCAGTCAGAGTGCAGTATAACTGCAGCATGCTGGAAATATTGCGTCCAAAATAATACGTTTATTTTACTGCACTAATTTTGCAGTGTAACTGCAGTTCAACTGCAGTACACTGCAGTTATTCTGCAATTACTGCGTCAAAAATACCACAGTGGTCTCTAGTTAAAACTGCAATATTTTTTGTAAGGGTAATAGTTTCACACATGCGTAAATCAATTATTCGTTTCCAATAGGCCTACCAGGCTACAACAAATACTTTTCCAGATAGCACCACTTACCAGTTTCGGCCTAGGCCGTGTAGTCTTCGATATCTTAGTTGGTGAATTATTATTTTTAAACTTATCTCGCTGATGATTGGTATTTCACCAATGTCTCCACGGTTTTTTCAATTATATTGACAAGGCTAATGATACGTTATTGACTTTATAAAATAGAATGAAAGAAAAATAAATTATGTGGATCTCACTTACTATTGTCGCTATAAAGAGTACCGTGATTTTTAGAACACATTTTAGAATTCTTAAATAATTCCATGATGATCACCTCTGACGCAATGTCAATTGTTCTATCATAGGTTGGCGGGAATGGTGAAACAAGATCGGGAACCTGTACATGGACTAGATGCAAAGGACTACAATTGATTTCAGTTTATAGATAGGTTATACATATCCAATAAAGAAACATTGGTTGTGTAAATTGGAATTGTGTGCGTGCCATTTAGCTTGCCAAATAAAGAGCTTCCCTCAGCCCAAAACAAGTGGTGGGGCTGCCATTTCGCTGAAAAACAAATCCCACGTTGTCGCTTTAATCAAAACATCCTTAATTGGCCCACTGCCGCTAGATGGCAGCCTATAGCTAAAAGTTAAAATGTAGCAGCCAGACTTTTCCTACTGGTAAATTTGGAGGCTCCAGGTGGGGGCGAGCTGCTTGTCCCCATGACTGCATTTTATTGTTGAGTGTAGCAGGCAAGCAGCTAACTGAAAACTTCTGTACTGCATTCAGATTACTGGCGTTTCTCTGTAGAAGCCACAGTGTAGGTAGAGCTACCAACAATCGAATCTAAGGACAACCGGCCCGGTTCGTAGTGTAGAACCGACTCCTTCTGCTACCACTATGGATGATTTAGGTAAGTTCGCGTGGTGTTATTTCCTAGCTAACAGTAGAGCGTCCGAATTGTTCCCACTCTTTCGTACTGCCAAATTACCTGCATAGCGCTCGTTCCTCAGCGCACAACATCAGGTATGTTGTGCTAGCTGTTGCTAACTATAGCACAGGACCACAAATGTCGCTAACGTTATAGAGCCAGTTATTATCCAGCTAGCCTGCTACACAGCGTGGGAATCGGCAGGTTGGAGGTTCTGAAAACGGGATCTTTGCCTTGCCGTCGAGAGGGAGGAATATAGACAGCTAGTTCCCGTGATTATTGTTAAATCTGTTGCTACCCAATAAGCATGGATACTTTGCAATACACCAACATTGGTTTTCAATAACACATTTGCTCTGTGTTAGCAATGTGTGCACATCCAGCTAAATGAATCCGGCAGGGATTCAATCGATGCCGCCTCTCGTTTTTAACCGCTCGATTGTAGTCGTCCCAGATCTGTTGACTTGTATCTCAACTTTTTAATTAGCTGCTACATGACAGATTGACAATTTGTATCGAGCCTGTATGCAGTTTTGCCGCGTACATTGCTTATGGAAAATGCTACTAAATTGATGACAGCGACCATGCATGCACACTTATGGAGCGATTTCAGTGCCAACAGAAACTGTATTTGAATTCAATATTTTTCAATTTGTATTTAGATATTGAATTTTAATGTAATATTTTTGAATTTGTAATGCACAAATTGAATCATTGAATTCATAAATTGAACTTGTATTTCATGATTTGAAACTGAATTGAATGCATATTTCATTGTTTTAAAATTAAATTAAATACTGGTATTCAATATTGATATATTCAGTTTCAATATGGTATATATTGCATTCATTGTCTGTATCAAGTTTTCAAACTATAATTTAAAGTTGACCAAAGTTTCATATATTAAGCTTCTCAGATTCGTTCAGATTGTTTTCAAATTAAGTTCTCTAAATTCAGATTCAAAACCAGAGACAACATCCTGGTACTTTGCCAGCAAGGAATGGTAGAAGAGAACAGAGAATGAAACCCGCTCTGTGTTAAACAGGTTTCTGAAGCCAATGTGGCATGTTGAACGTATTTTCTTCCTATAAATTTGGCTCAAGTGCTTGAACTGTTGGCTACAAGCTAATATGATCCCATTACTGAAAGCTTCAGTTCCCCTCTATGGACATATTAGAAGGGAGTTTGACAAAAACAGCTATTTGGCCCCCATTATGAAATAGATGAATAGCCCTTCTAAGGAAAAGCTTTTCCACTCCCTAATTAATCTTGCTCTTGTGACTGACTTGGTGCGAACCAGGTCTCCTGCAAATCAAATCAAATGTATTGGTCACATACACATGGTTAGCAGATGTTATTGCGAATGTAGCTAAATGCTTGTGCTTCTAGTTCCGACAGTGCAATAATGTCTAGCAAGTAATATCTAACAGTTCCGCAACAAATATCTAATACACACAAATCTAAGTAAAGGAATGGAATAATAATATATCAATATATGGATGAGCAATGTCATTGTCAGAGCGGCATAGGCTAAGATGCAATAGATAGTATAGAATACAGTATATACATATGAGATGGGTAATGCAAGATATGTAAACATTATTACGATAGTATAAATACAGTATATACATATGAGACGAGTAATGCAAGATATGTAAACATTATTAAAGTGACTGGTGTTCCATTTATTAAAGTGGCCAGTGATTTTCAAGTCTGTATGTAGGCAGCAGCCTCTCTGTGCTAGTGATGGCTGTTTAACAGTCTGATGGCCTTGAGATAGAAGCTGTTTTTCAGTCTCTCGGTCCCAGCTTTGATGCACCTGTACTGACCTCGCCTTCTGGATGATAGCGGGGTGAACAGGCAGTGGCTCGGGTGGTAGTTGTCCTTGATGATCTTTTTGGCCTTCCTGTGACATCGGGTGCTGTAGGTGTCCTGGAGGGCAGGTAGTTTGCCCCCGGTGATGCGTTGTGCAGACCGCACCACCCTCTGGAGAGCCCTGCGGTTGTGGGTGGTGCAGTTGACGTACCAGGCAGTGATACAGCCCGACAGGATGCTCTCAATGTCACAAGACTGTGATACTCCCCTTAGCTAAAGCCCATAGGGATGGTCCAGGACGCTAACAAGTCTCCAGCAAGGTTACTCATCAAAAGCGCGTGGACCTCGGTTACATTTCACCCCCCTTTAACCTCATACTTAGAGATCACGGTTCCAACTCAGCCCTCCTGCACAACAACAACACTTTCTATGACAAACAGAAGGATCCGTGCACCCCATTTAATGAGTGCAACATTTTACATTTACATCATTTAGCAGATGCTCTTATCCAGAGCGACTTACAGTAGTGAGTGCATACATTTTCATACTTTTTTCGTACTAGTCCCCCATGGGAATCAAACCCACAACCCTGGTGTTGCAAGCGCCATGCTCTACCAACTGAGCTATACGGGACCATGAGGTGGTTTGATGATCCATGCATGTGATGAGCAACCTTATTGCCTGAGACCTGAAGACGTGTTAGTTTGACTGATGTCTCCTGTGTGCGGGACAATGTAATTTTCAGGTCTCGGACAAGTTACTCGCTCAGCTCAACCGCTGGGGTCACTGAGGGGTAAATCTAGCAGATGGGGATCTGTGAAACTCACTCATCAGCCTGAAGTGCCACCCCTTTTCAATTGAAGAAGGCATTTTTCAATAGTACGGTGGGTTGGAACACTTCAGGAGGGCGGTCACGTGGGTTTTCGAGGCAGAGGTCCTGAGTTTGAGGCTCGATATGAGCTGAATCAGGGGGAAGTGGTACTCGCTAAGCAAGCAGCGTATCATCTTTTACAATGACTTCCTGATCTCATCCCTATGGGCTTTAGCTAAGTGAACTAACACATTCTTGTGACATGCAGGAGACCCGGTTCGAAACCAAGTCAGTCACAAGAGAATAACTATGACAGGGCTATTCAACTACTGTATATTGCTAAGAGGGCTAAATTGCTGTTTTTGTCACACTCCCTTCTGCACATCCTGTGAGCATCATAGAGGGGAACAGAAGGCATGACCATGTTCCAGAGAGTCCTTAGCTTTCAGGAATGGGGTCATAATAATAATAATAATAATAATTATTATTATTATTATTATTATTAGGAAGAACATATATTCAACATGCCACATTGGCTTCAGAAACCACCAGAAACCTGTTTTAACAGTGTTTGATTCAATCTGTTCTCTTCTTCTACCATTCCTTGCTGGCAAAGTACCAGGATGCCGTCTCTAATTTTGAATCTGGATTTAGAGAATTCAATTTGAAAACTGAATCTGAATGTATCTGAGAAGTTGAATATTTAAAACTTTGGTAAACTTGAAATTATAGTTTGGAAACTTGATACACAGACAATTAATGCAGTATTAAAACTGAATGCAATATTCATTCAATTCAGTTTCAAATCATGAAATACAAGTTACATTTATGAATTCAGTTATTTGAATTTGTGCATTACAAATAAAAAAATTAAAAAATGATATTAAAATTCATAAATATTGAATTCAAATACAGTTTCTGTTGGCACTGAAATCGCTCCATGCACACTCATCTTTCAACACTGTTGCAGTGTTGAAGAATCTGTAGCCACAGGCGCACACCTCTGCTACTTCACAAGTTGGGGCGTATATACAGTCATTGATTTGATCCATAGACTATAGCCTGAGGTTTGAAAACATCTCTTCCTTCCACTGCCCTTTT